ATGAATTGAGAGCCTCCGTGGTGACAACAGCAGACAGGTGTCAGAGGACTGGCACTACTTTAAAAGTAAACTCACTTGGCCATTTATAATAAAGATTTAAAAAATGTATGAAAACCTGCAAAAGGAACGCTGGAGAGACAGCTCAACAGCATAAGTGCCTGCCTGGCAAGCACAAGATCCTGGATATGTACTAAATTAGTTTAGGTGACGATCAAACCAGATTACGCTGGAACAAGGAGTAGGCACCTCTCTAGCTAGGATTTCCCGCAGTTCTCCATGTAGCTGTGCTGAGGTGTGTCCATCCGACTCACAGCTGTTTTAGTTTACTGTTGCAATGGAGTTGAAGTCAACTCTGCTAAAAATTAGGTAAGTCCTTTCTGACGTCACCTAGGCTTAGGTCACCCTACAGACACTGTGAACGTGGGCTTTTTCTTTTTTTTCCACCCTATTCTTTGAAACTTACTAGGAAATGTATTGTGAGCAAAGGAAGAACTGCAGGAGAAGCACTGTTGCCCCCCAGCCAGCACTCCCTTCTCGCCCGGCCGGCCACACAGGGCGTGCCTGGCGCTGTGCACAGGGTGCTTCACTGGGCTTTCTGAAATGCACTTCTGCTGGTGACTACCCGCTGGCCTCGCGATGCTAAGCCTTCTCGTTGGCAAGAACAGAGCTAACGCAGCCCTGGCTCCCTATGTGATTTATTTTTAAGGATCAGCACTCAGAAGAGTGAGGACCAGCCTCACCCCATCTTTCCCTCGGTGACAGCACGGTATGTTAGAGGCCCCTTTAATCGGTTTAACATTTATCTCTAAATTTTTCTTTGAACCTCTCTGGGAAGAACCTTAACATCTTTATGTAAGAATAACAGACTCAAACCACCTGAAATAACATAAGTTGGGGGTTTTCTGAGGGGATCTGTTTGTTCTGGGAGGCCATGAAAGCAGCGGCTAATGCAGCGGATCCCGAGCTTCAAAGCGCTCAACTGGCCCGCTGGAAACCGCACAGTGCTCAGGCTGTGACAGCACTGCATACAAATGGGAAAGGGAACTTAAGGACCAGAGGGCACCAGGAGGGCACCAGGGAGGGCGCACAGGAAAGAAAGATGGGGGTGGAGGGGCGGGGGGCAGAGCCTGAGAGAGCCGCCCCAGGTTTGGACAGAGTCTCCTCCGGCTTCCTAACTTGTTACCTCAACTGCCACAGCTGATGCTTTGTGACGGGAAGCCCCTTTTCCTTGAGGGACTTTGTCTTTTCTGACAGGGCTAAGTGTTTCTTAGAAACAAAGAGCAAAAGGAACATGAGGGGAAGCAGGGGGAGGGCTGTTACAAGAGGAGACCAGGAGACGGGGGAGGGGAGAGGAGGAATGAAGGTGTGAGGTCCAACACCACGCCCGCGGGGAATGCGGTGTTAAGTACCGCATTTGTGGGCTAATAAAAAATATCTCCAAATGGCATGTTAAAATCCAGAGGACTGAATAAGATGTTCTCTAAAACTAGTCAAACAAAGGGCCAGGCATGGTGGCACACACCTGTAATTCCAGCATTTGGGAGGCTGAGGAAGGAAGAGCCCTGTGAGTCTGAGGCCAGCCTCCACTACAGAGTTCAAGGCCAGCCTGGACTGCAGGATGAAATTGTCTCAAAAAAAAAAAAAAAAAAAAAAAAAGGCACTGGGGATGTAGCTCAGTGGCAGTGCTTGCCTAGCATACTCAAGGCCCTGAGTTCAATCCCCAGTACCACACGCACATACACACAAAGTCGCATGAAGATGTGCTCTGTACGTACACCTACCAACAAACCCTGTGCTTGATGTTAGCATTATGCACTGCAAACATGGACTAATAAAAATGTAAGAATAAAAGCCCAAATTCAGGACCTGACAAAGCAACGGCCTTGCCTAGAGGTCTAGGGAGGAGAGGGTGAGCAGGTGGGTGACAAGATCCACTTGGGAGTCACGCTCAGGTGGGAATAGCATAGCAAATCCTGTGCACATGCATGACAGAAAAGAAAAAAAGGGCCACGGAAAGAGCTCAGTGGCTGAAGCACCTGCCCGGCAAGCGCAAGGACCTGAGTTTATGTCCTGGTTTAAAAAAAAAAAAAAAAAAAAAAGGAAAACCAGAAACAAAATTGATTCCTAACAACCTTTAAAAAGCTTCTCGGGACCGGGGAGAGGGCTCAGCAGAATAAACGCTTCCTGGAAATGACAAGGGCCTGAGTTCAATCCCCAGTTCTGCCAAAGTCAGTAAATAAATAAAAAGCTTCTTAAAAGCTTGTTTAAATTGGCAGACCCGATGACAAATACGCATGTCACGCACTGGTTGAGCATGCAGGACAGCAGGGATCTCAACGCCCAGCCTGTGACTGCTGAGAAGAACGAAGGCACCACAAGCCCCTGGACACCACCACTCTGCTGTTCTTTCCACATCACCCCAAAACCCTTCACCACTGGGAGGCGCCTGACCCTCCCATCTGACCTGGGGGGACCCAGGCCTCCGGGGGCACACGCTGAGCACTGTCAATGATCCTTAAGCTGCACTGCGTGGCTGGAGGAGCCAGAAGTCCGTGTCTTCTTTGTTCAGTGCAGACCCTGCCCCAGGCCTCCCTCCCTCCTCCTGTGAGCAGATTCCCTGGAAGCCTCTTCTCTTGGGCTGGGCACCTGGCCTAGCTGTGGACTCAGACAGGTGACACCCCAGGTCCATGTGCAAAGGGGCCTGACCAGTGGATCCTGGCCTCGGTTATCCTGGGGCTGGCAGAGCGCAGCTCCTTGTGGGTAAGAAACACGGGGTGGCCTTCAGGTCAGAATTGATGCCGCGGCTGCAGCTTCTCCTTAAAAAGCTGCTCAACCCCATCCAGAGCTGCCCTGTGCCAGCAATAAACGGCTTAATACCAGTGAGCAACAACTTGGAATAAATTATGCAGCGAGTTTTCCTCTGTTATTTTGAGAACAATCTCACAATGTAGTTCAGCCAGGCCTTGAACTATGTAGTTCAAATTAGCCTTGAATTCAGTGATCCTCCTCCCTCAGCCCCCTGCGTGCTAGAATTGCAGTTGTGTGTCCCCAGGCCTGGCTGCGCAACTGTTTTAAAAAACAGCAGCTCCAGTTGTTGGGAGAGCAGCACTGTGACCCGGCTCCTGTGGCCTGAGAGTGGCTGACGTGTTAGTCACAGACACTCTGGGTTTGCAATGACTTTATTATTTTCTCTCAGTAAGTTTTAGGCTATTTGGGATTTGTTAAAACTAGAGTATTTTCATTCCATGCCATTTTATGTCACCCTAGTAATTCATTTGTAAACTAATACCAAAAGTCAACTTCCCAACATTGAATTGGTATTACTACTCTTCAAATATAAAATTTCATTGTTTATTTTCTCCTAGAAAACTTAAGTTGAAATTCCAATTACCTGAACCATTCCAAATTAACATACAATTGCTTAAACAATCTCAGTGATTCTCAGAATATATAAGGTTCAAAGACAGCTTCCTTTTTTTTTTTGGTGGAACTGGGGATTGAATTCAGACACCTGCACTTGCCAGGCAAGCACTTATTCTACTGCGCCATCTCCCTGGTGCCACTTTTGTGTTTTTGAGACAGGGTCTATGTAGGCCCGGCTGGACTTCAAATTCCGGTGATTCTCCTGCTTCAGTGTCCAGTGCTGGGATGCCAGCCGATTTCTTCTACGTATAAAGCCAACTGAGCCAGGCATGGTGGCCCATGCCTGGAATGCCAGCACTTAGGAGGCTAAGGCAGGACTGTTGCAAGTTCAAGACCAGCCTAGGCTACAAAGTGAGCTCAAGGCTAGCCTGCATTGTGAGACCTTGTCTTAAAAAGACTATATATGTATATATATATATATATATATATATATATATATATATATATATATCGACAATCCACTCCACATCTCGCCGAGCCCCTAGAGTAAAGCTGAGCCCCTCCTCCACTGGAGCTGAGGGTGTGTGACTGCATGTCTGGAGTCCACCTATCCCCATTCCAGCTGAATACGCACCTTCCCTGGGATGGAGGCAGGCATGCTGTACAGCAACCGTGTCAAGTCCCAGAAAGCCACGATACTTACGGAGTGTTTGCGGTGGCCTGGCAGCCCCGCAAGTTCTCTCCAGCTTCACGGCCACCTGGGCCCAAGGAGCAGCAGGGCTTTGGTGTTGGAGCCAGCAGGCTCCCCTGTTGTCCCCCAGCCCCTAGGCGGAGACCGAGCACTTCCTGGGCTGGGCTGGGCTGACAACAGAGGCTGCTGTTTTCCCTTCCTTGCATCCAACACTGCCCCTTTCTCCTCTCACAGAAGCAGAGGGCTAGCCCGGCAAAAACATGGGGCGTATTTTCTACATGGAAATCACCTTACTTACTTGCTTTTCTGAGACAGGATCTCACCAGGGGGCTCTGGCTGGCTAGGAACTGACAGCAATTCTCCTGCCTCAGTGCAGGCATGCACCCCCATGCCACGTGGGAATCACTTCTAAATGAGCAATGGTTCATTTCCTGATCTTCCCTAAAAAAGGGAGACTTTCCAAAAGTGATACAGACTTACAATTAAGCCAGCAGGGTGTGGCATCGGTACTCATTTCAATTACTATCCTTAAAATATGTTTTGTCCCAAAGTCCTGACTCAATTTCCAGAAAACAAAACCTCACATTTAACGCTCTCAATGCTAAGAATCGTGCACTGCTGACCTAACTCCAGAGCTGGCAGGGGGACGAGTCTCCAAGTGTCTGGTGACACGAGCTAGCGTGCCGGGCCTACAGCCACCCGCCCGAGACCCAGCACAGAGCACAGAGCTTGCCGTGGAAGCCCCGACCCAGGCTTCTGCGCACTGACGGGCATTCAGCGCATTAGTTTTGAACTATGGGTCTCGGCATGGAAAACACCAAAAACATCCACAGACTGGTTTTGATTACTCTGGGCTTCCGATTGCATACACAGTCATGTAGTTCAGAAATGTTTGAACAAGTTAATCTTAACGTAACTACATTCATAAACATAACACACCATGAAAGAACACAGAAAAACTTGTTTTATTGCTATGACGGTGAGAGTTAACAAGCTAAACACAAGCACAACTGCGAGGTGTCTAGTCCTGAATCCCGCAGAGCAGTGTGCGGGCCCAGGCTGCAGGTCCGTGAAGGCCAGCGCAGGACTCCCTGGGCAGATCCTTCCTGGGCAGCCGCCAGCAGCCACACAGAGCACCGAAGCTGCGACAGAAGTTTCTTGACTGAAAAATCCAGGGGTCTGGGGGATACGGGTGCCAACCAACGGCTACCTCTGCGCTTCACAAGCTGGCCCCAGGCACAAGCTGCTTCTGGGCCTGCGAGCCTCCAGCGAGGAGGACAAGGACAAGGATGCTGACAAAGCCGACGTTGGGGGCAGCCGGGGTCCCGGAGGCCTCTTGCTCCTGCGCCCTGAGAGAACCCTGGCTTCCGGTGGAGCGGGTGCGTGGATGGGTTTCCAGGGGATAGGGTTGTAAAAGGATGGCTCTGGGTAGGAATTTCCACTGTAAAAACCTAAAGTCATCAGGAATTCACAACAAAACAAAATCGAAAAAAAATTGAGTCAAAGAAACCACTTGTTTTAAACTCCTAGGGAAAAGGTTAAATGTCAGAAGGATAAATATCATTGATAAGCCACACCTGGCTCATTCAGAACCCAAAATCCTGAATATTTTCAAAGGAATGATACTTTGCAAAAACACTAAGTGCTATAGAGGATATTAAGAGATATATGATCATCTTAAGGATCCAAATAACAATATTAAAACTGCTATGAATAAGCCTACAAAAGCTTTCCTGAAGGTGAACGCACCTTTCTTCTGTTCTCTGAACCGTTCAGGGAGCTGGCTGGCTGGGCATGAGCTGGTCCCCAAGGCCAGACAGCAAAGGCCACCAAGACTGTCTGCACACACAGCAAAAGGAACCAGGACCGTCTGGAACTGCGGCAAGTGTGAGGTGACAGTGTGTGTGTGACACCTCCCGCAGTGTCCTGCTGTATTTACAGGATGCCAAGTGCTGGGATTGGGGATAAGCAACTGCCAGGGAGGATGAAGGGCCTGGGAGCGACCCTCAAACCTCTGTCACGAAGACACACCAATCTCTATATCATAACGTATGAAAGGACACGAGCATAGGTGACGAGGACCCGAGGATAACGCCATCTGCAGACGCGAATGCCCCATGGCAGCATGAAACCCACAGCACAGCAAGGGGAGATTAGTGACATGCTCCATGGTGGCAGTGCTGCCTGCCACTGGCCTGAGCGTCCCCACCACAGAAGAGCTGCCACGTGCTAGGCCGGGACCACCTTGCAGCTGTCCTTTCTGAAATGAGCAGTGGTCTGAGGGTGTTCCCTGTCCCTGGCAGGCGGCTCCTCTGCTCAGCTGGACCGCCATACAGCCTGGAGTGTGCCTACCTGGCCCAAGGTCAGAAATCACAGCCTTAAGAGCAATTTTGCAGTTTTGCCTGTATTATCTTTAAAAATGTATGTGTGGGGCCGGCGAGATAGCTCAGCGGTCTAAAGCGCCTGCTTAGGCAAGCTTAGGCAAAAGCGCAGGGACCGCGGTTCAATCCCTGGCACCACATGCCACACTAGCCCTGCCCCCGGGTGGGCTGAGCTGGCCACAAAAATAAAATAAAATAAAATAAAATAAAATAAAATAAAATAAAATAAAAAGTTGGTTTAAAAAAAAATGTGCGTGCAACTGACAGAAAGTACGAGCACATTTGCAGGGCCTCCTTAGCTACGTGGTAGCATGTCAACCAGAACATGTGACACCTGGCCCGCAGCCTGCAGTGACGGAGCCCCAGGACCCCAGACCGACCTGTGAGCCGCCCGCTGGCGTAGCCATAGCTCTTTGCCGCAGGGCGAGGCTTGTTTTTCGCCGTTTCCAACCATTCCTTGAACTTCCTTTCGGCATTTTCCTTCTTCTCCTGTAATTCAGCTTGCCGCTGCTTTTCCTTTTCCTTGAAATGACAAGGCCCAGGCACGTGAGGGGCCTTCTAGCTAAACACGCCAAGCAGCTCCCGCGACCCCTCCCGCAGCTCTCCCGACAGCTCCCGCCCGCGCTCACTGGCTGCAGTGCTGAGCTAACTCTCTGTAATCTGAGAGCAAGAGTAAATGAGGCCAGGGGTGCACGACTAAGACATCCCCCTCTGCACACAGGAACACATCGCATCCAAAGGGAAAGGACTTGCTGGTTGCCAAGGGCACTGATTTATACTGAGACAAAGTGACTACAATATGACCACATAAAAACGCACCCAGAAATCAAAGGGAGGAAGCGCAGCGTTGAGTCTGACCGACGGCTTCTGAAGTCGGGGCCCAGACCCAGCTTCATTACTTGCTTTACGCCAAGGCAGTGCCAGCCTTCGCCACACCCGCTCCTGTGCTCTCCCCGGCACAGCACACACCACGTTCACAAGAGAACTGTACCTTTTCTTTCTTCTTCTTCTCACACCCTTCAGCGTTTTTCTTCTTTAACCATTCCTGATATTTTTCCTTTGCCTTTTCTTGTAAATGTTCTTTCTCCAGTTCCTTCGCTGCCTTTTCCTCCACTTCCTTATTGAATTTTTGTTCTCTTTCTTTTCGTTTCTTAAATGAAAATGGGGCATTTTAGTTGAAATATCTGTAGTTATCCTCATCTAAGGGAAGACTATTGCATACACAATTTCCTAAACCTTCATCAACTCTTAAAACAGGCACAAGTGTGGTGGTTGTTGCCACGCTGTAGAAACATGTAACGTCTGTCCACGCAATGACCCCTCCCTGCTGTCTCCTGTGGGGCTGCAGCAGCATGGGGTGCTGATGCAGTGCCCGCTCCAGCCCAGGACAGCGCTGAGTGAAGAGCAGGCGCTCACTGAAGCCTTACTGCATAAAGCAGCGAACAAAAGTTACAATCTGAGATTGTCCTGCCTCTTAGTAGTTCTAAGTGGCCATGTGCCCTCCCTCCAAGACACGCACTGTGTGTGCCCATGGCCGGCAGGCGGCCCACACGGCAGACACCTGGGTGGTAGTGGCAGCATGTGGCTCTGAACACAGCAGTCCACGGGTCCAGGCGGGGCCACTCGTGTTTGTCAGTTGAGTTCTGCACCGATGCGGCTGCCTGGCTTGGCTACAGACTCATCGTCTACAGCAGAGCTGCCACGCTGCCTCAAGGTCCCAGGCCGGGACCCCCACATCCCCACAACTTGCCCCTACTGAACGGAGGGCTGATCCCTGGGCTCAGCCCACACCTTTGCCCCAAGGCCGGAGAAGGGTCCTCGGGGCTGGGCACATGCGCAGGGCAGGACAGACCCTACACACACACACACACACACACACACACACACACACAGGGCGGGGTAGACCCCTGCACAAGCACAGGGAGGGGCAGACCCCACACAGGCACATGCTGCCCTCCCAGGGCCAAGGCACGCAGCTTCCTGAAGGCTCGCCCTTCACCCAGCAAGGAGTCTCAGTGATCCTCCCTCAGGCCTGCAGTGTCACCCACTGGGCATGGGACTGACAGGACACAGCGGCTCGGCTGCACAGGTGTGAGAGGGCAGTCAGCCTCATCCGGCTGAGCACGCTCCCCAGACACAGCAAGAAGAGGTGCTGCTATTGTTTATTTTGTGTTTTCCGAGATAGGAGCTCACTATGTAACCGGCTGCTCTCACACTCGAGGCCATCCTCCTGTCTCAGCCTCCCAAGAACTGGGATCGTAGGTGGGTGCCACCATGCCCAGCGAGGAGGGTACTAGCATTACCCTTTTTTACACAGGAACAGACAGGGCAATCTGCCTGAGGTCACACCATGCACCCCTGAGAGCTGCGGGTCAAGCAGACATAAAATGAAAGGAGACAGTGGTAAACAAAAAACAAACAAACAAAAAAAACTTTTCAGCCAAAAAACGTAAACTGAAGCCAAATACCAAAACTTCTTAAAATACACCCTTCCCAAAATTGATTGCAGAAATAGGGCTGGAGTCATTATCTACTCATAAAAACAACCCCAAGTAAAGGCCTCCTCACAGAAACTGCACTTCTAACAGTTTCCAGGAGATTCTATCACACTGCGAAATAACCGTTGCAATATTGTAGAAAACAGAAAAAAGGGACACATCCAAGCTCATGTAAGAAGCCAGCTATTGGGCCGGGGGATGGCTTGCCTGGCAAGCGCAAGGGCCTGAGTTCAATCCCCAGTTCTGCCAAAAAAAAAAAAAAGAGAAGCAGCAGCAGCAGCAGCAGCAGCAGCTAGTTATTACACTGATGCGAGAACCAGGCGTGAAAACAAGGCAACAGCAGGAACAGCGAGACGACGGCTCTCGCGCACAACCTGCGAGGTGCCTGGGCGCTCCCGGAAGGACGATGGGGAAGCCACTGCACAGGGAAGCCAGCACGCTGCTGGCCGGCCCGAGACGGACATGAAGGGGCCGGCGCCGCGCTGACAGACACGTCAATCTGATGGTACTACAACAGCAGCTCCCCCAGTTATCACGTGGGCATTTCAGTCGGAAGGGCAGCCGGCGGGACGCGGGCAAGGCCAACGCACAGGCTGCGGGGCACGTACAGCAGGGCGCAGGGCCAGAACAGCCTCAGCGCAGCCGCCAGCTGGTGCGCCTGCGCCGGCTAAGGTTCACAAGTATACATTACCGAATTACAAAACTTTAGCAATAGGTTAGTACTCTATGGGATATAAGCCAAAGATAATGGAATCCAGAAATAAGAGCTGCATAGTCGTGGCCTTTTGATTTTAAACAAAGGATTCCTTTTCCAATAAACTGCTGGAATAACTGGGTATCTGTGTGCAAACAAATGGGTCCTGGCCCTTGATTCACGCCACACGTTACAACGAGCTCAAACTGCACACAGACGAAAGCAGAAGTTATCAAACTTCTCAAAAAAGCAGAGACTGCTTACATTCTTAGGGTGGGCAAATGTTTTTTAAATAAAGACTGAAAAACCACGAATTACAAAAGAGTTGGAACCGAACATCATCAAGATGCAAAACTCTTGTTCTTTAAAAATACCATTAAGAAAAAAATCACAAGACGAAGTACCTGCCATGAACGCGTTAGACGAGGGACATGCAGGCAGCCTGCGTGTCGCTCTGCGGGGCGCTTGTCCAGCAGCTCTGAGGCCGGCACATTCCAGCACGCAGCAGAGGAGGAAAAGCAACAAGACACACATGAAACAACTCAAGCCACACAGAGCGGTGTGCGTCTACAGTCCCAGCCACCAAGTCAGGAGTTCGAGGCCAGCCAGGGCAACACAGTGGGACTCCAGCCCCAGAACAATGGAACAGTGCTGTCAAGGCCAGTCTGACTCCACAGCAAACCCTGTCTCAGGAAACAGAAAGGGAGACAGACAGACTTTAACCAATGCAAAGTAAAACCCAAAATGTCAACAACAGAAGAGATGTGGAAATGGCCAGGAAGCCAGCCGGCTGGCCGAGTGGGGCCTTTCAAGGTAAATTCAGTTTCAGCACAGTTGTGCTGGAACCCACAGAGACACAGTCATGTGGTGTCCAGAGGAAGCCAGGAGAGGGGTTATGCAGGCAGCTGGCTGGGGTCCCCTGTGTCGTGCCTTCTGGAATGTGGGGAAAGCCACCCTGCCAGGGACGCCCGGCCCCACATCTGTCTCAGAGCCCCTGAAAGATGCAAGCAGGTCCTGGGAGAGGTTACAGGGGCAGGCAGGGCCATCACACATGGCGCCACACCGTGGGCCTGAGGACAAACTCCACCCAGCCACGGAGCCACAGAAAAGCTTGTTTCTCCCCAGCACCCCAAACCACAGCCAGCCAACTGCCATCAACCTAGCAGCGGAGACGTGTGTGTGGCTCAGCAGAAAAAGGGCTCAGCGGCACAGGCCGGATCCGCCAGCTGCACGCAGAAGCCTGACCAAGCACACACTTGCACGGGGCACGGACAGGGCCCAGCGGGCTGTGGCTCCCAAGGCCACCGATGTGCCCAGACACGGACCTGCCCCAGCAGAGCGACACAGGGTCCTGCTGGGTGCTGGCAGGTGACACAGCTGCATGCCTTGTCCATGGTCAGTGCCTTCGGTTTGCACCAGGAGGCCACGGTGGGACTCAGCTGAGCCGCTGCTGCAGGACACAGCCCCAGCCGAGCAGGGACACCGTGCCTCGGAGGCCTTCCTGTGTCCACAGGCCTGCCGTGCTCCTGGCCCCGGGAGAGAGGGCGGGCTCGACCTGGGCAGCCCTGCCCGGCCGCAGCCGCTCCCATAAACGGACGCGATCCCACACGCTGGCAGATCTGGCAGTGCTCTTCACACAGGGATTTCAGGTATTCTGAGAATTAAAAAGGACTTCTCTGTAAATCACATCAAAACACTGACATTGAGGACTTTTTTCAAAATGTGTATTAATGCTGTTCAAAAGAATCCTAGAAAATAAATTAGTCTGTGACCCAAGTGTAAGAGGAGGCTTTTCCTTAAAAAGACCTGAAGAAGCTGCGGTCAGGCGTGAGGAGCTCACCCTGTGACACGGCACAGATTCTCCATCAGAAGCTCTCAGGGAAGCAGCAGCCCAAAGACGGCCGGCTCAGACCACACGCGCAGTGTAGACAGGGCAGATGCCAGACAGGAAGCTGGGCAGGGCCAGTGCAGACAGGGCGGACAGGGGCCTCGGGAGAAACCCTCCACCACCAGTGAGCCCTGACCACACGCAGGAGCAGCAGACCAGGCTCGTGCCTGAGCCCTTTCCCTCCCGGGGCTTCCTGTGAGAGTCACTGACTCACGCCAGGGAGAGCCGTTTCCCTCCCAAGATATCTTTTCTTCCCCCCTCAAGAGCTGCATCAGATCTACTGGTACTACGTAGACGGGACCTCAGCACAGCTCCCCAGACAAGCTTCCCTTCCGCGATGAGCAGCAACACGCCCAACAGGACAATGAAGGTCATGGCAGCTTTGTGACACACTACCACAACCAGCTGTGGGAGCACCCGTGCATGACCTCAGCACTCCAGGAGGCTGAGGCAGGAGGACTGGGAGGCTGAGCCCAGCCTGGGCAACTTAATGATTTAGCAAGACCTTGTCACAAAATAAAATAAAAAATTAACAAGCACTAGCTATCGCTCAGTGTTAAAGCCCTGGTTCTAATCCCTGGTACCACACAAAAAAGTTGTCATCTAGTTTGGCAATGGTCATAGCATTCATTCACAAAGAACATGTTCTTCTAATATTGTGGGATGGGGTGAACTATCAAAGGGTACCCTTAGCCGATTCAGACAGTACCAAGCAAATGCCTTTATGGTACACACACACACACACACACACACACACACAGAGTCTCCCTCCTTTAACCCCTAAGGTGGTACAGACTGCCTCCTCAGTTTTCAGAACGTATGCCTTTGACCCTCACTAGTGCAGCTGGGCATAAGATTCAACAAGAGATCAGGACATCACATCATAACTAATAATTTAGACTATCCTCCACTTTAGCCATTTCTTTAAAGCCATTAAAATTACACTTTAATAATTAAAGCAGAAAAGAAAAAAAAAAAAAAAAAGGAAAAAAAAAAAAAAAAAAAAAAAAAAAAAAAAAAAAGGAAAAAAAAAAAAAAAAAAGAAAAGCAGTACCAGCCTAAATCTGTAAAAACAAGAAAGCCACAATTGGCAACAAAGTCTTTTAAAACTCTCCTGCACTGATCATGCCAAAGGCAAAGCATGGGCGGCTGCTGATGGCATGGCGGGGTGGGGACAGAGCTGGCCTGGCCTGTGGGCCATGGGCACAGCTCCCAGCTCTGCACAGTAACCAGAGTAGTGGAAAACAGAGGCCAGAATCAGTGGTGCGCACCTGTAATCCCGGCTATACAAGAGGCTGAGGTGGGAGGTCTGCGAGTTGGAGTCCAGCTTGGGCAACTTCAGGATTCAGTGAGACCCTGTCTCATAATACAAAATGAAAACAGCTGGGGGTGCTGGGGAGCTAGCTCAGTAGAATAAGTGCTTGCCTTATTCTATTCAGCACAGGGTCCTGAGTTCAATCCCTGGTACCTCAAAAAAAAAAAAAAAAAAAAGCTGGGGACACAGCTGTGTGGAGGCCCTGGGTTCAATCCCACTAACACAAAAGTGCATGCAGACAGGGTCATGGCACATTCTCAGCGTCTCTGCGGCAGGAGTATTGGGGCCAGGTAGCACAGGGCAGAGGTTAACACTATTAGCAACTCTGCTTGTACCCTGAAAACCAGGTCAGTTCAGGGCTGGGGCGCAGCCCGCCGGTGGACTCGCTCAGCGCAGGTGAGGCCTTCGGCTGGATTCTCAGCACCACCCAAAATGAAGACAAAACGCGCATTCAACTCCATTACAGAGCTGTGCTTATTTCATATGAAAATATACATTTCTCTCTTGGAATTTTCCAGTAAAATGAACATGCCTCAAAGATGTTTGGGCCTGGTTATCGCTGTGTGCTCTCCGGGGACCACAGTCAGATAGCAGAGCACAGGGACCCCAAGTGGCACCGAGGCGAGCAAGGGCAGAGGGTGGCCACCTCGCTGACACAGCCAGCTTCATGCAGCACCATGGACGTGAAGGGGTTCATTCCCCAGCAGGCACTTCTGGGCGTCTGTCTTCCCATGTGGCGGAGAGGCAGCCCAGGAGGACAGCCCTGGCTTCACAGTCTGCAGAGATAGAGGCGGTGCCGAGGACACCAGGACAGCCCCAAGCATGTGGGACAGAGAGCTCTGCACAGTAACAGAAGGAGGAGGCGGGAGCCAGGAAGAGCAGCTGCCAGAAGTCTGGAGACCCCGCAGGCACTGAGCAGAGAGGACAGCGGGCGACAGAGCCCTGATCAACGTTCACGGGGCAGTGAAGGAAACCCAGAGTCAAAGCCCCGAAAGCCACAGAAAATCTTCGAGAACCAAGGGGCGGGCCTACCTGCTTGTCCTTCCTCTGCACCCACTCCTTGTGCTTTTCCTCAGCGATTGCCTTCCTTCTCTCCCGCTCTTGCATTGCTCTTCTTTTCTCTATCTGTTCACTTAATTCCTGTGGGTTTGATTTAGACAAAAGATAACACTTAGCAGAAGTATGCAATCCCTCTCTTAAAAGGGCTGAATTTAAGGGAATGAACCAGGAATGTAGCCCCCTGGCTGGGCCAAGCGCCCTGCACAGTAACTTCCTGCAGCAGCCGAGCCTCGCTGGAAGCAGGCAGGGGTGGAGGAAGTGGAAGTCATTTCTGGAGGTGCAAAGCACGGCTTGGCAGCGAGACACTAGTCTCTTAGACTGAACTTCAGCAAAATCAGCCTCATTGAAACCAACTTTCCCACACATAAACGCTGGCACCGTCATGAGCTTCTGGCAGCTGCTCAAGAGAACTGTGACTGCTCTATAGAGCACAAAAGGCTGTGGGGTTGTTGATGAAGTGAGGAACGAGAATCAAATAATCCCTCAGTGAAAATTCTGATTCAGAGCTAAGCCAAAGAAGAAACAGGAAAGAGTTATTCCATTTTCCTAGAGAAAAGAAAAGAATCTTTTTTTTCACAATATTACAGCTGCTGGGGTGTACGACAAAACCACGTCTCTACCCCAGATTATCTCACTGCTCTCAGGCTCGGAGGGACAGGCCCGGGCACTTCCTTAGGAGAAAGAATGTGTTGGTGTGGCCAAACGAAAGCCGGCGCAAGGCCACTGTCACTCACTGCCCAATCATAGCCTGAGCCCAGAGGGGGCTGGCGAGTGGCTCTCTCCCCCCCAGGTGCAGGTCACCAGCTGAGGTCCCCTGCCCACCGCCCCTTCCCGGGTGCTGCCTGCTCGGCCTGCCTGGGTGAAGTGCCAAGGACAATCTCCCAGTGCTCACGTGAGCCCCGCATCTCAAACAGACAGACAGACCATTCACAGGGCACTGCGGGCTGGGGCTGCCCTATGGGACAACTCAGGGACCGTGTTGCCAGGGAACCCATCCTGAACTTGCTGTTCAACACTGAGACCCGCACCCCCAAAGTCCTGAAGATACCATCTGGCACACAGCTGTCACTTGGGTTCCTCCACACCTGTGGGCACCATGAGCACCAGCAAAAGCCTTCAGCCACCTGCGCGCCGAGCCCTGGGAGCCTCTGTCTCAGTTCACTGTGCCATGCTGGGTATGGAGACAGTTGCTCCAGGAAGGGAAGTGGAAGGAGAAGAGGAGGAGGAGGCAGCAGGGGAGTGGGAAGCACTTGCCAACTGATCCCCCATCATCTTGTTCTCCCCACTGTGCCAATAGAGGGCTCAAGAGGAGGGAGACAGGAAGTGAGAGCACAACTTTAATTCCCTCTTCAGGGAAGAAGGTTTTCTAAGCCGGCAGGAGGTGCTGCACGTTCAGTGGGGCGACGGCCAGCTGTGCGCAGGGCACCACCATCTCCTCCAAGGAGTGAGAGCACAGTGAAAGGGACAAGACAGAGGCACAGCCTGTCACCCCAGCACAGAAGGGCTGAGGCAGGAGGATCACAGTGAGTTCAGGGCCAGCCTGACTTACATAGAGATCCTGTCTCTAAAACCAAAGCAAACCAAACCAAAGAATTCAGAGAACTGGGATACTGAGCTTAGGGATACCAAATTATAGGAATCCAGCTACTGCTAGGTCCCAAACAGCAAATGCCAAGCACACAGGGCGCCAGGGCTCACCCACAACTACTTCACAAGTGAGGGCGGTGAGATTTAGGAACCGTGCGCACAGCAACCCCCTTGAGGACTGGGGGCCGTCGCTGCAGCTCCTCCGTGGGGGCAGATGGCACTCAACGCCTCTGTCCAATTCTCTCACATTTTCCTGGGCACAGGGCCGGGTCCCCTCGAGAAACCGTGCCTGACAAAGCCCTGTGTGTGTGCGTGTCCACGCCAGGGTCTACACGGCCACTGTGCCTGCCAGGGCCCATCTGTGAGTCCAGCCCTGCACACGCAAGGGTCTGCCGTGGGAATATTCTGGGAAAATGTACTGGAGTACCCCAGATTATCCTGGCATCGCCCATGGAGGTGCTCTGTGTTCCGTGGGGCGACGGCCACCTGCGCGCAGGGCACCACCACCTCCTCCAGGAACATGGGCCTGCAGAGGAAGGGGTCCCAGATGGCCATAGAAGCAGCCTGAAGTGGGTGGCTGCTGGGGTGTGGGTCTGCTTTTAAGAATTCACATGGCTGGAGTGTGGAAGACCAAGCACCACGACCTCAGAGGTTACCCTGGGGGAGGACGAGCAAGATGGCACCCTCTTCAGATGCCGAGCTGGGGCTGCCATGTGCTCCTCCGAGGGACACAGACCACGTCTGTCCTTTGATTTCCTAGCATTCACATAGCACGCACACGCACACGCACACGCACACTGTCCCACGGGCAGGGGTTGCTCTCTCTTCCTGTCACAGGCCAGGGCCAGGCAGGAAGCAGCGCAGCCTCACCTCCAGTGCTCGATGCTGTAGGCGCTCTCGCTCCTCCTTCTCTTTGCCCACGAACCACAGCTCCCACGGGGTCAGGCTTCCACCAGCCATGCGCTCCTCCACCCGCTCTCCCTGCTCAGCCCTGGGCTCCAAGGCACTGCTGCAGAGGAGAAAGCTCGGCATTTCCATCACTGTGAATTTTACGAATCTACACGAATTACACATGAACATGACACATGGTGGAAAGGAAACCCAAGTGTGAATGAACTTATGCCCCCAGCCGTGTTCCCATTCAGGAGCCACAGTGCTTGGCGGGGGGGCGGGGGTGGGGGGTGATGCATCCTCGAAATCCCAGCACTCAGGAGGCTGAAGCAGGAAAATCATCACAAGTTCAAGGGAAGCCTAGAATACACTGCAAGCTCAAGGACTGCCTGGACTACACTGGGAGACCCTGGCTCAAAACTTAATTAAAGTAATTGAAGCAATAGCTTTACCTACTGGCACCGTGGAAGAGAGGCAGCCGCCCGATGCAGCACTGGAAGCCAGTTAGCACACAGGTCTCCCCTTGTGGCACGCGACGGCCTCATCCGCTGCTTTGTACAACTTTTTCTACCTTAAAAAGTCAGTTTACTCACTTCTTTCTACTGCTGTTATTTATTCATTTGCTCATGTCCTCCTGGAATCTGTGTCCTAGTGGAAAAGAGATACTGCCACTGTTATCATTTCTTCTTGTTCTCTCCTGTGGTAGAGAGGAACTCAGGACCTTCACACTGAGCTATATCCCCAACCCTTTTGTGTTCTGAGAGAGGTGGGACTTGAGCTTGAGATCTTCCTGCTTCAGCCTCCTAAAAGCTGGGATTCCAGGCTTGCACCACTGTGCCTGGCTGGAAGGCCTTCACTTGACCCCACCGCTTCCACTCTTACTCCAAGCCACTTCCAGCCAGACCTCAACCTTGAGCTCCAGGCTTCTCCTTCCCACCAGTTCCGTACGTGATGACCTCAGTTAGGCTGTCATCGTTTCTGGGGCCCACCTCCGCACACATTCCAGGGAGCTGGCCACCTTCCCGCCAGCATGCTGACCGCCATGGGGGGTCCAGCTCCCTCAGCCCAGGCTGGTCTCTCGACCCCCTCCTCTTTCCTGCAAATCTCACTGCACTCCGCTGGCAGAAGCAGCCCTCAAATGCACCCTTCGGTAACCCCATCTCCAGTCTTGGGGCTCCCAGCACCTGAGCCTGATGATGCCAGGCGTGCCCACCCCTGGGTCACCAGGGTGACACCTCCTCTGGTGGTGGGCGGTCTCTGCCATTAGCAAAGCTCAGAACTTCTCCCTGCAGTTCCACAAGCTCCGGGCGGCCAGGGTGGGAGCTCAGGTCCTGGAGACTGAGGGCCTTGGGGTTCCCACTTCGTCCTCACTGTGCTTGGATCTGAAGCTTACGACACCGGCTCCTCATAGGCAACACAGTAACCCTGAAGCAGCTGCCATCCCACCAGCAGCACCCTCACCAAGGTGCTGGCTCTGCTCTGCTCTGGGCCCTCCAAGGCACTCGCTGTGCCTTTTACTCTCAGGACAGTCAGCTCATCCTCACCCTCTGAGATTCCGCTGCTGAGATTCTTGAGACAGGGGTCTCACTATATAGTCCAGATTAGCCATGAACTCTCAATGTGGCCCAAGCTGGCCTTGAACTCACAGCGATCCTCCTGTCTCAGCTGCCCATAAGCTGGATTACAGGCTCAAGACTGGATTCTGACATTACGCTTACTGCCTGTGCAACTCTGCCAGACATGTGGTTAATGCCCAGGGCTTCCAGCCACCCGTGCACTCTGTCACAGGCAACGAGTCCCTTAGAGCAAGACAGCACAGCTTGACAAAGGGCCAAGAATACAAAACCCTTGTTTAAAGAAGAAATCAGGGGCTGGTGAGATGGCTCAGTGGTCTGAAGCACCTACTTAGAACAAGCTTAGCAGAGCACAGGGATCACGGTTCAATCCCCCAGCACCACATGCCAGCCAGCCAGCCCCGCCCCCTGGTGGGCTGAGCTGGCCCGCGCGCGCACACACACACACATAAATAAATGTTAAAAAAGTAATTAAAATAAATAAAGAAGAAATCAGTTGAATCACTTTTCTAACTCTATGACAATAAGTATTAAAACTGTGCTTTGGGGGCAGGGGGATAGCTCAGCAGCATAAGCACTGATTTCAGTCCCTGGTACTAATCAACCAATCAATCAACAAAACTTTGCCTTAACGTGTACTTAAAATGTATGCACAGAACACACTGCATTTCCGCCCACAATCAAGAAGGTTGTGATAAGCAAAAAAGACATTTATTAATGTACACTTTTCCTAATAATAGGAATTTTTTAAAAAGAAAAAAAAACAGGGTCAGGGATATAGCTCAGCGGCACAGTGCCTGCTTGGCAAGCACATGATCTCAAGTTCGATTCCTGGTAACCCCCCGCCCCCCCCAAAAAAAAAGAAGAAGAAAGAAAACAAAGCTAGGTGCGGTGTACACACCTGTCATCCCAGTACATTGGAGGCTGAGACAGGAGAACCATGAGGCCAGACAGGGCTACATTCTGAGTTCAAGGTCACCTACAATTAAATGCCAAGAGCTGCAGACTTAAGAAATCACGGAGCATTGGGGCTGGTGAGATGGCTCAGTGGTCTAAAGCACCTACTTAGAACAAGCTTAGCAAAGCACAGAGACCGCGGTTCAATCTCCCAGCACCACATGCCACCCAGCCCCGCCCCCTGGTGGGCTGAGCTGGCCACACACACACACACACACACACACACACACAAATAAATAAAATTTAAAAAAAGAAAAAAGAAATCACGGAGCATTATCTTGTCCGAGGCCAACTCCGAGTCTGTCCCTGCAGCCTGCACACTGGGAAGCCCGCGTGTGCTCTCAGCAGGTGCCTCTGATCCCCACGGCACCCTGAACTCCCCTACCTGCATAGCTGAGTGGGGCCAAGAACGCGGCCCTGGAGCCCCAGGCAGCCGGCACTCTGCTCCCCCTGCCCCAGGGCCGCTCACAGCCCCAATCCACGGCAGGCTGTGCCCGGGGCCTCCTGTCCCCACCCCAGCAGCTGGGCACCAAAGCTCAGGAGCACGGAGGCTTAAGAAAGCTGGCCAAGAGGACAGAGTGTGTGGAAGGCTCCCGAGGGTGCATCCTCCGCTCCCAGGGAAGCCGCTCAGCAGCACAGTTCCTGAGCACTGCAGCATTCAGCACGGGCCTCAAGGACCTGCCAGTTCTGCTTCCTCCGCAGTGCCACCTCCCACAATCGGGATTCAGGGACTGGGGAAGGAAGGCAACTTCTCCCCAGGGCACGCAGGGTCACAGCATGTCACACGGTTACACAGCCATATGTCCAGCTCTCCCTGGCGGGGTTGCAGGCACCTGGTCAGCTGTGGGGTCAGCTCAGTGTGGTCTCCACAGGGGGCTACATGCCCCTCAGGCTGCACAGCAGCCAGGTGGCTGGGCCCCGTTGGTTCTGCTCAGTCTCCCCAGGTCCTCAAAATACCATGCAGGTCCACTCAACCCTGGACTCCCTCGCAAGGCTCCGATGCAGGACTCAGGGGACCCAGCTCTCTGACTCACTTCCATCACCTGTGGCTACTTCAACGTGAATCAGTGGAATCTGATCTGCGACCCCACCCATGTGCTTGCGTCTGCCCTGCACAGTTCAAGTTTGGTCTTGAAAGCGCGGGCAGGCTTGGGTCACTTCCTAAAATTATGCTTTCTGTCCCCTTACTCTCCTACGAGTGCCTTACACCAACAGCTGTCTTGCCACATACATATAAATACTGCTATAAGCGCAGCACCCTTCCTGGAGGCTGAGGCAGGAGGATCGCCGAGAGTTGGAGGCCAGTCTGGACACAAAGCAAGACTCTTTTAAAAAACCAAAACCCCAAGCAAAACAAAACGAAACGACCAGGAATCCTCGAATCAGGTCGTCCGTGGATAAGACCGGTCCCAGGGCTTCCTGGGTGCAAGAAGGATCCGCAATGATGCTTACAGGGCACAGAAAAGCTCGGACGCGGCCCCGGCCTCAGTGTACCTGTCGCAGGCCGGCGCCTCCGCTGCTCCTGGGCCGGGGCCCTGGGGCTCGCGGCCGGGGGCCTCTTCGTCATCGCTGTGGCCGTCGTCGCTGTCGCCCTCGTCGCTATCCCCGTCGTGGAACGGGAAGCCCGGGTGGCCCAGCGGGGACAGCAGCGACAGGGTGGAGTCGCTGCAGCTCGGGGGCGGCGACGGCGAGCGTCCTGCCGCCAGACCCTGTCCACGCGACCCGAGGCCGAGGCCACTGCCCGAGGAGGACGAGCTGGGCCCGGAAGCGGCAGACGGCAGGGAACGGCCAAGGGGCGACGCCGCCCGCCGCCGCCCAGCCGCCCGCATCGCGCCCGCGTTTAAAACGGCAGCGGTACTCCAGGCGGCCATCCGCCTTCCCGGCGGGCTCTGCGCGCGCCGCTGCTGGCCAATCCGGGCCGCCGTAGGCCGCGTCGCTATGGAGACGCCCGACGCCGCGAGGCTGCGCCGTGGGAAGCTGAGCGCGCGGCGGGGCGGGTTCCAGCCGGCCGCAGCTGCGCCGCTCTCCCGGAGGCTGGGCGCGCGGCTCGCTCCTGGCTCGCTGTGCTCCTGCCGGCTGCCGAGTACGCGAGAGCCGCCTGGCACTGAGTAAGGCGAACCCTCTTGTAAAGGGGGCAGACACGGAGCCCGCACAGAGGCGGGCCCGGCTGTGGGCGCCCGCGGCGTGCAGAGCTCCGCGCGCGGCTGTGTGCGTGTGCCCCGAGCGCTCCGCGCGGCCCCTCGCGTTCCGGTCGCGCCTCGCCTGCTTGGGGGAGCCGCGCAGTCCAAACGGGATTTGGGGCCTCTGGGGGCACCTTTTCTTGCGCTAAGCCCAGGGGTAGGTGCGGCCTTTGTATTCCTCGACCTCTCGTGGAGGGAAAAAGTCATTTCGTTAAAATATGCATTTTATGAGTGAATAAAAACTTCTGTGGGATCGTGGGGAGCTCTTAGGAATAAGACCGAAGGGAGCAGCGGCCCATGCGTATCCGTGCTGAGCAAATCGCCTCCACTTTTACACACACAGGACTTTTGTCCAGGTTCCCATGTTTGTTACGGATAGAAATACTGAGAGGCGAAATGGGACATTGACTTCAACAACACACAAAGCTTGTCACACAGAATCTTTGATGGAGTCTAGGTCTGCAAAATTTGGCCTGAGACAATTAGGGGAGAAACAGTAGCAGCCAAGGACAGACCAGAAGCCTTAATAAGGCCTTAGCTGGGGACGTAGCTCGGCGGTAGAGCGCATGCCTAGCGTGGGCATGGCCCTGGGTTCCAGCCTCAGCACCAGGGGTGGAGAAAAGACAAGCGGAGAAACTACTAACATGGAGTATTTTATTAAAATTTCAATAAAAACACAATGGAAATGGAGGAAAATTGGAGCAATCCAGCAGTAATAAAGTTGATCAAAGACAATTGACAGTGTTTCATCCACCCATTATTTAGCATGGACCAGCCCAGCATAAACCTCCATCAGAACAGCTCTACGGTCAGTGGCATCAAAGGGCCCGGGCTCCTCTAAGGGTTCACGCAGAGAAAAGCTTACAGCCGGGCTTGTTGGGGCACAGCACTGTGAGGCTGAGGCAGGAGGACTGCAAATTCAAACCCAGTGGGGTAACTTCAGACCCTGTTCCAAAATTAAAAGTAAATTGCTGGGGATGTAGCTCAGTGTGAAGGCCAGGAGGGCTTGATCCCTAGTACTGAAAAAGTTTGTGAAGCAAGTTTTCAATAGATTTAACTACAGTGGGGTACAGCATAAAAAAGGCACTTGGTTCAATTCCTAGTTCAAAAATAAAATAGACTTGGACTTCAATCAGTGGTTTCATCTGATACATTCCATAACTAAGCCGTTCAGCCTTCCCAAGCCTTACCCCTCTAAAATTGGAAAATAATCTGCTCGGTCACTGACCTCACTGATGCTCGGTGCTTCCAGCTCGGGGCTGGTGAGATGACGACGGATGGTGCCACTTGAAGTTCCCCAACTGGCACACTTAACCTCTTGGGTCCACAGTGTCGCAGACTTCAAGATCCTTACTGGACAACCCACGCCCTTTCTTCGATGCCTCAGGGCCACCGTGGCCAACGAAGGCACCATCTGTATTGATCCTGGAGCCCTAGGTAAGGGCTGAGGTAGATACCCAGCGCCAGAATAGAGAGCAGTAGAACCCTAAGTAGATGTATACACATCTCTTCCCTTAATTTTTGTTTTCAGAGACAGGGTAGTTTTCCCTCTGTAGTTCAGACCAGTCTTGAACTTACTATGTAGCCAGGCTGGCTTCACACTAATGGGGATCCTCCTGCCTCGGCCTTGTGGGCTGGGCTCACCAGCATGCACCACACCTGGCAAGTCTCCCCTTAAATTTTAGAGAAATCATTTAGTAGTATTTTCTCTCTCATTTTCACTCCTACAATACAGTTGATATTTTGGGCCAGTGCTGTGGCCTTTGGAGAGTGACTTTTATTCTAAACTCCACATGTGGAAGGCTGAGGCAGGAGAACAAGTTGGAACAACATAGGTGATTTAGAACCTGTTTTAATTTTTTCCCCCCCAAGATCTGAGGACACAGCTGAGAACAAAGGCGTTGGGTTTAATCCCAGTACTGCCAGAAGAAGGGACGGGAGGAGGCAGCAAAGGAAAGACCGTGCCTACTTGTGTTAACTAGGGTTGGGCCAGGAAGATAGCTCGCTAGATTAAGCGCTTGCCTGGCAAGCACAGGGTCCTGAGTTGTCCCCTTACACATAAAACATTATTTGAAAATAATCAAGCAGACGACCGAGTGGGGGCATGCAAGGGTTCCCTGCACACTGGGGGACAGTCACGGTGGGGCCAGGACATGTGAGGGTGACTGTTCTGTGGCAGAAATTGGAAACATGTATGAAGTTTGAAGCCCACACAGTGTCCGGAATTAAGAGTGGGCGCTGGTCAAGGTCTTCTTTATAGGAATAGATTCTCTTTATTTCATTAAACCCTTTGCTTTCTCCTTTGTAAAATGAGAGTTTGAGGGCAGCTGATAAAGTTTTGTGCCATGCAGGCATTGGGGATTGTTTCTGAGACAAAAATCTCTTTCTGTCATCCAGGCTGGCCTAGAACCCACAACCCTCCTGCCTCAGCCTCCGGGGGCTGGGATCACAGTGAGCGCCACCATCCTGGGCTCATGCTTTCACCATATGGTTTAAAGAGAGATGTGACCACCGATGGGATTTTCATTCTCGAGCTTCGCTTGGCGTGGCTCAGACTTAGATATGACTTCTAAAACATGGCAAAGTATTCTTAAATATTTAGAGATGAGTATCAAAGTAGTGTTTTCTACTCTTTGCAATTTCAATTTGACTACAGACTGCTAAATAAATGCACTGATATACCTAGTTATATATTAAGGCAAAATAGGTTACTTTCTAGAAACTTTAATAATTCAAAGCACTGTGTGCAATACTGTATGTGACACCGTATGTGTAGCTCTGGTTATCATTTTTTTTTTTTGGTGGAACCGGGGATTGAACTCAGGCCCTTGCACTTGCCAGGGAAGCACTTTATTCTACTGAGCCATCTCCCCGGCCCTTATCATATATTTTATATATCTGCTATCTTATTTTTTATTTTTTCTTTTCTTTTTTTTTTTTTGGCGGTACTGGGGATTGAACTCATGACCTTGAACTTGCCAGATAAGCACTTATTCTACTGAGCTATCTCCCCAGCCCTCCTATTTTTTAACTGAAATGAAATCAAGTTTCTAATAACCTGAATGTTGGTGAAAACAACTTTTAATTAGGATCCTACCAAGTTATGATTTAATATTGATCATATATGTAAATATATAAACATGATAGCAATTTTTAAAACTTGTAAATAGTTGTCCTTACAAAATTACAACACACTGTAAATAACCCCCTCCCACATTTTATACAAACTACATGATTTTGATATACAAAGATTCTGTTTTAATTACACTGACAATGTACAACCAAGACTATATACAATGCAAAAAGGTCAATAAACCACAAGTGAACGAATGTCCTGCTACTGGCAGCCACTAGACTTCAGAGGTAGCTTTCATGAGACGAAATGAACAGAGGCCACGTTTCCCAGCTTGTGTTCTAAAACTAATTTACAGAAGATAAAAATTCATTATATGCACATATATACAGTTTAGTCATTAAACTGTAATCCAGCTTCCCCAATTCAGGACGCGTGGGGTAACCATGTGGCAGGAGGTCTGCTGGAGATTTAGCCCGGTTTGCAGATGTTGAGCAATCAGAATGCCCTACTACACACAGCAACATCCAAAGCCCATAACTGAGAATCAAGAAGTGTGAATTTCTAAAGACAGGCTGTATTTTATTCCCTCTATTTGCACCAAGACGGATCTGTCCTGTCTAAGAAAGCTCAGCATTGGAATATTGGAGATTTTAGGGGGTTTTGTTTTGAGACAGGGTCTCTGTGTCGCTGAGGCTAGCCTTGAGCACGCAGCGGTCCTCCTACCTCAGCCTCCCCAGGGCTGGGATTACAGGTGTACTTCACTACGCCAGCATCACCTAAAAATCTGTTTTGAAATCAAAGTATGGGGAGAGTGGGAGTTTCTGCAGCACGGCACCAGTCAGGAGAACCAGTCCACAAGGACACACACTTTGGGACCTAACCACTCCCAGCAACACCAACGCTTTCCCTTCAGGGCTTCAGACCCTAAAAAGATGTCAATCCAACACAGCCGGACAAGGTCCGAGAGCCGCTGGTGTTAGAGGCATCGGGGGAAGCACACCTGGCTACCAGACCTCTCAGGTGCTATTGAAAAGCCCCATCTTCAGCCTCCCCAAATCCCAACACCCACACGGCCACAGTCCCCTCTTCCTCAACTGCCAAACATGGAGGGGATAATCATACGATCAAAGGACAGTGACCCCAAACAAATGTTCTGCCATTAAAAACAAAGACTAACAGCTGTTAATACTGTTCTTAAAACATGCTCTGCTCTAAACCTGATCAGTGCTGTGAACAGAATCCGTGCCTCCCTTCTGTCCAAGAGGGGATGAGACGCAGAAGGCTCTTGCGGTCTTGGGCTTGTCCTGAGATTAGCGGTGAGACTTTGGGGAGAATTAGTGAACTCTTCTTCAGGTATATAAAATGCTATTTTAAAAGAAGTTTTAAGTTGGGTGTGGCAATGCACACCTGCCACCCAGAACTCGAGAGGCGAGATCAAGGCCAGGGTGGGCTCCAGAGTGAGTTCAAGGCCAGCCTGGATAGTACAGTGAGACCCTGTGTAACCCACCACTCCCAAAAACGATAGCTTCGAAAAATATTAACAGCTTTTCTTTATCTTGTGCTTAATTCAAGAACACTGTAGACTTGCTCCTTGGAGCAGGGAAGCCGGAGATTGCCACTGCTATTCCCAGTTGCATCCTGTCAACATGCCTCACGGACTAGCCACGGCATTTCTCACCAGCTGACAACCCCTGCACCTCTGCTCTGAAGCTGTCTGCTGGGGAATGGAGCTGCCAGCCGCCTTCCTGGAGCAGCCCAGGCGCGATAGAGCAGGGACCCGTCACACGGGCCGGCTCAGTCTCTGACCCGCGGCAGGTTGTAGGCATAGCGCACCAGCGGGAAGCCACGGCTCTGGTAGAAGCAGGCTCGCCCGCAGGCCTGCACCTGCTCCGAGCTGTCTGACACGAAAGAGTCCTCCTCGTCGGCCGACTGAGAGCCACACTCGAACCAGAAGCCCTCGGGGCTTGCGCAGGGTGCAGCTGCCAAGGCTGGGCAGCTGTGTGACCTGCCTGGGAGCCCGCAGGCGGCTGGCCGGGCCAGGAGCAGGGCCTCGCAGCAGTCGCACAATGCCAGCGGCGCGCGCGGGTGGGCGCAGGCGGCGTGGTCCGGACGTGGGGTGTGGTCCCCTCGGCCGCCCTGGCTGTCCCTGCTGCCCGGAGAGCCGGGCCCTGCCCCTCCCCGGGCCACGCGTCCCCGCAGGCGGCCCCAGTCCTCCCTGAACTGCGGGCAGAACAGCACGTAGAGCACCGGGTTGAGGCAGGCAGGCAATGGGAAGAAGATGAGGGTGACCGACCTTGCGATCTCGGGACTGACAGGGGCGGCGGCGACGAGTGGTGCAAAGGAGAAGAAGGCCACAGGGCAGAAGAGCAGGCAGTCGGCGAAGATGAGCCAGGCCACGTGGCGCACGGCGCCGGCGCGCAGCCGCGCCTTCTCCAGCGCGCAGTAGAGCCGCGAGTACACAGCGGCCGCCAGCAGGAAGGCCAGCGAGTTGACCAGCACCAGTGCGGCCGAGAAGCCCAGTGCGGGCGCCTCGCCGGCGGGGAACGGCAGGCACAGGGGCGACGCCGAGAAGGCTCCGCCGCGGGCCAAGGGCGCGCAGCCCGCCGCTGCCGCGCCCAGGAAGGCCAGGCCCGCGGCCGCCCGCACCTGCGCCCTTGCCCGGCGTCGGCCCTTGCGGCTCCGTGCTGGGTCCTTGGCAGACAGGCTCCGCTCCACGGCCGCCAGCGCTAACAGGAACACGGCGCTCTCGGAGGAGAAGACACCCAGGAAGCCGGCTGCCCGGCAGCCGCCCCCTGTTTCCCACCAGATGCCAAAGTCAGCGAAGCGGCCCCAGGACGCGGCGTCCAGGAAGGTGAGCACACCAGTGTAGACGGCAGTGAGCAAGTTGGACACGGCGATCAGGCCCACCAGCAGCTTAGAGGTGGAGGGTGTCGCGCCGGGCGCGAAGGTGGTGACCACAACCAGCAGGTTGGCCAGCAGCGCCACCAGGAAGATGAACCACACTGTGAGGCGGATCATCCAGCTTCCCAGCAGGTACTGGCAGGGCTTAAAGGCGCCTAAGCGAAGCAGAGAAACAGGAGAGCGGCAGGTGAGCCTGGAGCAACCCACCACTAAGGAGCCCCCTCCAAGCTCTCTACCCTTCCACTGACAGCAGCGACACAGGGCTGCAGAAGCTCGGGCCCCAGTTTCATTTTTGAGATGGTCTCTTGTTATGTAGCCCAGGTTGGCCTTGAATCCTAAGTGATCTTCCTGCCTCAGCTTCTGGGTGCTGGGATGACAGGCGTCACCACTGTGCCTGGCCAACTCTTGAGATTCTTTTTTTTTTTTAAAAGGATAATCTTTTTTTTTTTTTTTTAATTTTATTTATTTATTTATTAGAGAGAGAGAAAGAGAGAGAGAGAGAGAGAGAGAGAGGCCAGCTCAGCCCACCAGGGGGCGGGCTGGCTGGCATGTGGTGCTGGGGGATTGAACCGCGGTCCCTGATGCTTTTGCTAAGCTTGTTCTAAGTAGGTGCTTTAGACCACTGAGCCATCTCTCCAGCCCCAACTCTTGAGATTCTGAGTTACAAAAATAATGTTCAACTCATCCTGTGACGTCACCCTAATGCGGGAATCTGGTTTGTAGCACACCACTGAGCCAAAAGTTAATCTTCTTTACTTATAATTACTGATTCACTTTCTCTGGTCCACAAGGCAGGTGGTGATGAGAGAACCACACTCCATCTGGGTCAGCAAGTGGCCCAGGACTAAGCGCAATGAGGGGGTCATAAAGAAAAGGGTGTGCCGAGAACAGCAAAGTAACAGAGCACACGTTGATGCACACCAGCAGCATAAGTTAGTCTTAGAATTCAAAGACCACCATCTGGGCTGGGTGTTGCACGCCCATAATCGCCTGCTATGGGGAGGCTGAGGCGGGAGGATCACCTTGAGTTAGAGGCCAGCCTGGGCTACACAGTACCTGAAAGGCACAGGAAGACCCTATCTCAACAAAAACCAATAAACACACCAAAGACTGAAAAGCAGCATTCACAGAGAGCCCCCACCAAGCACCCCACAGCACCCTCCACCAGGGACTCTTGCCCTGACTTCCACAGGACGTGGCAGAGGCAGCCCTGCATGGCCCACCCCACCCACATTCCCGGCAGGGCCTATGCCCAGCGTAGCCATACCTGTGGGTGGCGTGCAGTGGATGATGACTTGACTGTGCTCCCGACGCTCTGCACTTTCTGAGCCATTGCCCCTGCCTGCAGCACCTGGGCACAGAGGCACTGGTCATGAGCCGGGCAGACCACACCTCCCCGTGGCCCCTCTGAAGTGGGGAAGGCTTGGGGGTGCTTGGCAGTAAGGGCTGAGGTGGAGGGTTAGGGCAGGGACATGCAAGCTGCCTCCTCCTGGCTGCACCCCACCCGCCATGCCCCAAGCACCTCTGTTGTCGCCCACGCTGTGGTCCTGCAGGGTGCTGTCCTCCGTGTGTAAACTCGCGTAGGAGTCGCAACCCCAGAACGCACAGCACTGATACGCATACGGCACTGACAGAGACCTGGGGAGAGGTTGGAGAGCACGTTGGTGCCAGGGGCCAGCGAGTCTGACCTGGCTGGCTTCCACCAGCACAGCCTTCTCCCAGCCAGGCCTCAGATTCCTAGCTAGGAAAGAGGGCCGGGGCTACTGCTCAGGGCCACAGCATCTGCCTGGAAAGCGCAAGTCCTGAGTTCAATTCCTGGTATCCACTGACCCCCCCCCCAAAAAAATAAACCACAAAGGAGAAGTGTCACACTCAATTTATCTGATAAAACTGGCAGTTTCATTTAAAAACAACATCCCAGGTCACCAGTGGCCACACCATTATAGGAAATGCCTTTGTTCACAGCAATGTGTTTATTTTCTTTTCCTGCAAGGACAACCTCAGGGTTTTCCCTCCTGCATTTAGTGTGGTCTATAACATCTCTTGGAGTGCTGCAGCTTCACAACACTAGACTGCTTTTTACAAACGGTCTTGCTATGCAGTTCAGGCTGGCTTCAAACTCAGGGCGCGCCTCCTGCCTCAGCCTCCCTGTGCTGGCCTTCAGGAGTGCGGCCCACACCCGGCTCCACACTGCATCAGCGCTCTGCAGCCTCCTGCTGCCCAGTTCAGGGTGTTGCCCAGTTCAGGGTGCTGCCCAGTTCAGGGTGCTGCCCAGTTCAGGGTGCTGCCCAGCTCAAGGTACACGCTTGGCACACGCTCGCCATGATGAGTTTCTTTTTTTTTTTTGCGGAACCGGGGATTGAACTCAGGCCACTGCGCTTGCCAGGCAAGTGCTTATTCCACTGAGACAGCTCCCCAGCCCCCACGATGAGTTTCTGATAGGGATGCAGTTTGTAATCTCAACAACTGCAGAGTGATGCTCATTCTATTTTCCTTACCAAATTTCCAAATTTGCAAGGATGGAGAGAGAAAATACTCTTAAATTACAGCCTATCAGAAAAATCTGGCACTACAGAAAAAACAAAAAACAAAAAACAAGACACTATAATTTTAGGGCCTACCATAATTTTAACAACGAAAAAGACAAATAAGTAGAAACACACCTGAGGCTCACGAAGTCCTCTGGTGCCAAGGCGTCCTTCAGCTCCAGGTTGCCCACCAGTTTCAGCTGGTTGAGCCCACGCAGGCCTTCCGTAGGGAAGGAGGTCAGTGCATTGAAGCTCACGTCTCTGAAATGCAAGAGCAGTGTCAGGCTCCCTTCCCAAGAGAGGTTACCGCAGCACCTGCACACACAGGAACGTGACATTGGTCCCCCCAGTGACATTCAGAAGGCTAAGCTCAGGGCACACACATCTGGCCCTCGGTGATGTTGTCACTAGTGCGCCGCATGCGCGCATCCATGCATGACTAACAAGGAAGCAGAGAAAGCCCTCCGACGTGTCCGTGTGGAAGGCCAAGCACGGGCAGCACCGGCTGCCCACTGCGCGCAGGCTGCACACTTACAAGTTAGTGATGGCCGCAAGTGTGGCGAAGGCACTGCTGTGGATTTCGTGGATCCAGTTCCTACTCAGATCCCTGCAATTGTAAGAGTAGCACATTATCAGGATCCTACAGAAGCACACACGACATGGCCAGGATTTAGACTACATTAGAAGGTGAGGCAGTTTTATTTTTATTTATTTTTAACTTTTTTGATAGAGGGTCTTGTATGTCCTTGCTAGTGAAGACCACCGGGCTCAGCAGGCCACTGTCACCCCTCCGCTTCTTGGGTCATGTTCCCTGGCATGCTCTGGGCTGGCGTCTATCACCACAGGTGTGACTTTCCCCACTGTATCACTATGGTAGCAGTGCAAAAATATTATGCGCTATGAAGTAACCTTTGGTCCCGTGAGCCAGGCAAAAGGAACCCAGCTCTTGGAAAAGCTGAAAATAAAAGCAGGTTTCCTATTATTTGCCTTCTCAAAGGTTAGTGATAGCGCCTGAGAGAAGACAAACAATCAATAAGCAAACATGTGAATTCCAGAGGGCCTCAGACAGCACTCTTTCTTGGGTGGAGGCAGAAGGCTATCGGCCCAGGGCTGGCTCTGGGCTCAGGCTCATGGCCAAGGCTTCCGGAGGGACAGAGGCCTAAGAAATCACCCGGATGTTCATGCAAACCAAAAGGGGGACAGACTCCTTCCAGAACACATCTGGGGGACATTATGGGACAACCTTGGGTATAATCAAAGAGCAGATTGTCACTGGCATCTGTGATCTAGAAGGGACAGTACACAGTAGCCAGTCTGTCCCCACCGTTAACCCTAACCAGAATAGTGATTAGCGCCGTCTAGCACAATGTATGTTTGCCATCTTTTCTTTCCTCCTCTCCTTCCCCTCCCTCCCTGTCCACCAGGAGCCCTACAGGCCAGGCAGGTGCCCTACGTGGAGCGACACCCCCAGCCTGCCGGACTATTCACAGGGAGTCCACTGGAAAAGCAGATTCAACCGCTGTAATTGTGCCCAACTGAAATGCCCAACCTTCCTTCTGTTAAAAGAAGCCTGTTCATTTACCACTTAGCTCATTCTGTGCTCCACACAGAAGCCCTGCACAGGCAGCGGGGGTCGAGCTTTGGCTCAGTCCCCTCCATCTTCCCAGACTTTCGGGGGTGCCTGGGATAACTCTCAGTCAGAAACAAAGCCTTACGAGGCCCTGCCGAGAGGACAGCTCCCCCAGTGCAGGGACCGGCCAGCCTTTGGCCCTGAGGGCCACACGGCCACCTTGCCGTGTTGTGGGTTGTGGTGCCGTGCCTGGGCATCTGTTGCTCTGCATGCTGAACTGCCCCAAGCCCCAAGTGAGGACTTCAAAGGACACACAGCACGACGGCACCAGATACAGAGAGGTGAAGCTGGGAGCGGGGCAGACCGCCTGCGAAATTCCCACTGCAGAGCCGCAGATGCCCTGGGTGTGCAGCTGCACCAGACCGTCGCCATCATCACAGGCAACTTACAGGATCCTCAGGGACACCAGGCCACGGAACGTGTCTTCCGTTATCTGACAGATCTGATTACGTTGCAGTGAACTGAAAACGAAGACAGGAGCGACGTGAGAGGGCGCGCGCGCCACTTTCTCTTCGGCCAAGCTCTTCCTAAGTCTAAAATCTCGAGGGAAACAGCTCCTGGAAAGGCAAGCTGGCCTCCGGGTTTCCATCCCAGCTCATGCCCAGAGCGGCTCCGCCACGTGCTCACAGCCTCTCCCTGGTGTGAGAAGAAGGAGAACACCCAGAGGCAGGGCCTGGGACGGGACAGGGAAGGACTGCGGCAAGGAGCACACGGGCTGCCTGTGGCCGCACACATCTGCCGTCCCAGCATCAAGAGGCCGAGGCAGGAGGATCACAGTGAGTTCCAGGCCAGTCTCAACAAATTTTCAAAAGGTGGGATCCACACTACTCTCCAACCTGCCAAGTGACTCCCACCAGTGCTGCTGTGGTAGGTGGGATGGGGACACGCTGTCCCCTCTGGCCCCCTCTAGAGCTGGGACCACTTCTCCCATCTGTTTTATCTTCGCTGGCCTCCTGACAGTGGCCGGCAGAGTCCGCGACGGTCCGGCGCCTGCGGGGTGCGCCCCCACGTGCGTGGAGACGCGACTTTCTGCTCCCGGGAAGCCCTGCTGCATGCATCCCTAAGCAAGGCCTTAGCCTGCAGAGCAGCCACCCGCAGCAGCAGGCACTCAGCGGACTCAGCCGCAGCAAGTAGAGCGAAGACCCACTCACATTTCCTCCAGGGCACGACAGCCGTTGAAACTCGGAAGATCTCTTATATTATTGTAAGACAAGTCCCTGAAAACAGTGAAAGTTTATGTATCAATGTCACATTATCAGAAAACTAGTTTAGTTTTTCTCGAGTCAGGGTCTTGCCAATCAGGTTGGGCTGGCTTTGAACTCACTGTGTAGCCCAGACTGGTCTCAAACTCCAGATGATTCTCCTGCCTCAGCCTCCTGAAGGCCTGGACGACAGGAATGTGCCCCTGTGCCCGGCTTACTTACATCTCTTAACACACTTGTATTAAACAATATAGCACAGCACTTAATGCTGATTCCACTGCAGCCTGTCCTCAGAAGCGGTGCTCCCCCTTAGGTCTGAAATTCCTGCACTGCTTAATTAGGTGCTCGGTTAATCAGTCACTTGTTCCATTACATATCTCCTTCTGCTGAATACTTATTAACAACCAAGTCACTTAACTGTCTTGCTGACACTCTTCAGCCACTGTCTGCTCCTAACACAGGCCAGGTTCAAAGGTTTTCAAAAAAAACCAACACAACAGGAGTGCTCTAGGTCGGGCCTGCTGCTGCACACCTGGCATCCCAGCATGCGGCAGGCTGAGGCAGGAGGGTCACAGGAAGTTCAGGGCTAGCCGGGGCTACATAGCAAAATCCCATCTCAAAACATAAACATGTAAGGAATGCAAAGCAGAGAAAGAGCCAGCGGCAATGTGCGGGCTCTGCTGAGGCTATGGAAGAGGGAGAAATCCAGAGGAGGATGGGCTCAGGGTAAGAAAGGAAAGTAAGGCACTCGGCTTTAGTTTTGGTCATAGTGAGGCGGGGACAGGACAAGCTGCAACCCGGCAGAGGAGCGGGTGCCTCGGTGCAGCACAGGGGCGACTTACAGGGTCCTCAGTGCACGCTGCTCCTCGCATAAGCTGTGGGGGATGCTGTTGATCCTCGTGCCTGTCAGGGTCCTGTGGGGACGGTGCCTGAGGTCCCCACGGGGCTGCCTGTGCTCTGCACCCACCCTCCCACGTGAGGGCCACCCTGTACCGCTCGGCCTGCATGGACACCTTGCCCTTGTCACCCTTGCCACAGGGGCCTGGACTCCAGGGGAAGGGCCCCAGGACAGACAGCATGGGGGGCAGCCCCAGGAGCCCGGAGCCCCACCCAAGTAACCTGCTGCCACCACCCTCAGCGGCCAGTGCAGCCTGGCATCTGCACCACCCATCAGGGTCAAGGTCAGCGGCAGGATTAGAGCTCCACAGAGCCCCTGCTGGCCACACCGCTGGCAGCCCCATGCCCCTGCCCAACGCTGGGCTTGAGGCAGGCTCTCTGGCCCCAGCATGGACAGGGCCAGTGTGCACAGGACACGGCGCTGCCTTGGCAGAGGGTGCGGACCCTGAGCAGAGCCAGTGGCTCCACGCGCAAGGTCCACAAAGAGCACTGTCACCTACGGTGTCACTGCGTCCCGGCCACACTTACAGGCTTTCCAGGTGGACCGTGCCTGTCAGGTTGGGGAAATTCTGCACCAGGCTGGCACCACGGATGACTCTGGCAGATTGGAGAGGGGGGGGCACTTGCTGTGGATACTTCTGTTTTGTTTTGTATTTTCTCTTTCTCTTGCTGTTTGGTTTTTGGGACAGGGTCTTACTACACAGTGTAGGCTGGCCTTGAACTCACTACCCATGTAACGGGTTGGCCTGGAACTGCAGTTAGCCTCCTGCCTCAGTCTCCCCAAGGGCAGGGATTGTAGGCATATGCCACCACCCGGCTGTCATTTTTATCTTTTAAACAGGTTGAAGCTGCAGCACCAGGAGCACTAAGGCTGGCGCGCCTCATCTCTGGCAGCACACAGGCGCGACAGCAGGCAGAGTGCTCCAGAGCACCAGCCACACGCTGCCCCCTCCAGCCCCCACCCAGGCTCGGTGGGGGGGGGGGCGATAAAACAATAAGTTCTAGCTTTCCACTCAAGGGCCGTGGAAATACTTGAGTGTCTTTTAAAACTTGCTTAATACTTACAAGGAATGTAGATCAGACAGATTGTGAAATGCGGAGTTTCCCACAAAAGACAGAGGGTTGTCATACAAATGTCTGCAAAATTATGTAAAAAAAATTCACACTTTGCGCATTTTCCAGTGCCTCGCCCAAGCCCCCAGCAGCCCGGAACCCTGCCCCGCCCTCCGCCCCTGGCCTGGCACAGTCTGCCACCCTAGCACGAGAGCAGGCCCCCTCACATAGTTCTCAGCTGAGGGTTGCCACTGAAGGCGCCGTCCGGGATGATGGAGATGGAGTTGCTGTGGAAGCCACTGTGGAGGCAGAGGTGGAGAGGGAGCCGCGGTGAGGCCTGCGGCGCCGCCTGCGTGCCCTGCTCAGAGCGCAGGCTGCACCTCCACGCACGCGCCTGCGTGCCGCGGTCCCCAGGCTGCTGAGCACAGCGGCTGGGAGAGCCCTGGTGCGTGTGTTACGGCCAAGATGCAGCCTCTCCGCTGGCTGTCTGGTCCTCACCCCAAGCGCGTGCACAGCCAGCCCTCAGCCCCGACAGCTCTCCTGTGCCTCAGGCCTTTCCTGTAGCTGTGCTGGACTCCTACTCCTGGCAGCCCTCCCGCCTCAGCCTGCCGTGTGCTGAGGTGACAGGCATGTGCCACTGCACCCAGCAGTTTCTACCTAGAAACAGTGTGTGTGTCCCACGGTCCTGAAAGGGAGGCTCGTGACACCTCGGTTTCGGCAGCACCCAACCCTACAAAATAAGCTCTGCTCCACCCAGGCTGCAGCCCAGCAAAGCCGAGGGATCCACGGGGCCTACATCAAGTGTGTGCACCCAGCGCCTGCCTGAAGGAAGGAGACAGAGGTCTCTCTGGCGGTTGCCAGGCCAGGCTAGGCCAGGCCGTTGCAGGGAAGAAAGGGAGGCTCGTGACACCCCGGTTTCGGCAGCACCCAACCCTATAAGATAAGCTCTGCTCCACCCAGGCTGCAATCCAGCAAACCCAAGGGGTCCACGGGGCCTACATCAAGTGTGTGCACCCAGCGCCTGCCTGAAGGAAGGAGACAGAGGTCTCTCTGGCGGTTGCCAGGCCAGGCTAGGCCAGGCCGTTGCAGGGAAGAAAGAGAACAAAACACTACTCACAGCTCCTTCAGGCTAGGAAGTGCTTTGATGGCCTCAGGAAATTCCTCTAGGTTATTATAATTCAAGTCCCTGGAACAAATGGGGAAAGTAGCGCTAAGCAGTGGCCAAGCTGGGGAGCTCTGGGTACGCTGCATGGAAGGGCCGGCTCAGGGGCCAGAGTCTTTATCAGCTGCGATCACTGCAAACCTCACAGAATCCCAGCTTGTCAGACTGCTGAGTAGAGAACACTCCAGCTCACGCCACACTTACAAGGGCAAAGAGCACTCAGAACCGCCATCACTGAAAGGTGAAACAGACAAGTCATCCGAACGGTGTTTCACAGGCTCACCAAGAGCTGGAGGCCAGCCTGGGCTACACAGCAAGTTCAAGGCTGACCTGGACTGTACAGCAAGGCCCTGTCTCAGAAAAAAATTAAAATAAAAACCAAAACAAACCTATAGTGAGTTCAAGGAGAGGATAAACTGCACACTGACCCAGTCTTGGAAAGAAAAAAAAGAATTTTTTTTTTTTTTTTTTGCGGAACCAGGGATTGAACTCAGGCCCTTGTGCTTCCAGGGAAGCGCTTATTCTACTAAGCCATCTCCCCGACCCTTTAAAATTTTTCTTGCTGGGTGTGGTGGCTCATGGCTGTAATCCCAGCACTCAGGAGGCTGAGGCTGGAGGCCTGTTTCAAGTTCAAGACCAGCCTGGGCCACCTTCAACTACGTAGAGAGATGCCATCTCAACAACAAACCTCTCTTAGTGGTTATCCATAGTGCCCTGAGTCTTAACTGACCTTGGAAGGCTAGGGTCAAAACGTTGGCTTTCCTTGTGGCCCTCCTTTTTCTCCAATTTTTGGTCTGCAAACCTAGGCTGTCAACCCTCCAGAAGAGAAGCCCATTGTTATTACCATACAACCTAGGCTGTTAGGCTCAGCCTCACTATCTGTCTGAGTATCAAACATCTTGGGCATAACATGATCTTCTTTTTAAATCCATAAATATTTTCTTCTTTATCTTTTCCCTCAACTTTTATACAAGACTTTCTAGTCTCCACTTAATATTTTTTCTCTAATGATTTCTGCTAAACACTTTATTTCATTGATTTTTTTTGTTCATATTTCATTTATTCAAGCATCCAAAATACAGTGGCAGGTACTAAGGATGTATTGAACTAAATTATGTAAGGTTTAAAAACAAACAAACAAACAAACAAAAAAAACCCAAACAACAACCCTCTCCAGAATTCCTTTCAGGAGCTTTGAAACAGTCATCCCTTTAACAGGTGGTCTTTAGAAAGGTCCAAGCCCTTACAGGTCACGCCCACGAGCCATTTCTAGTGGGCCTCACTGCACACACAGCTGGCTACTTGATGCTGAGCTCTGTGGGCAGCTCCCTCCCTCCCACATGGCACTGCGAGGTCCCTGAGCGCCCACCCAGGGATGGCACGGGACTCACAGGGTCTCCAGGTTATCCAGGCCGTCGAAACAGTGCTGACTTAGCCTTTTGATCTTATTGTTATGAAGATGCCTGTGGAAAGAGGCACCACAGTGACCCCCACTTTCTCTGCCCCCCAGCAAGCCGCCACTGCATGACGTGACACCGTGGGGCTTGCAGGAATGGACAGTGACCCCCACATTCCTTCTGGGATTTATTTTTGAGACAGGGTCTCACTACATAGTTCAGGCTGACTGAAAACTTGATATAGTCCTCCTGCCTCAGCCTCCTGATGCTGGGACAGGTGTGCCACCACCTGGCTGAACATCAACTTCCTATGCACTCGGATCCACACAGCTGTCCTGATCCGCTCTGAATTCACAGGAAGCCACTCCCTGGGTAGCACGCCTGGCACCCCAGCTGCTCGGAAGCTGAGGCAGCAGGAGGCCCGCAGTGCGGTAGAGCCCAGCCTGCGCTACGTAACGAGACCTTGTCTCAAAGCCCCAGCGCTATGGAACGGCCGGCGGGCAGTGCTTACAGCACGACCAGGCTGGACAGGTTGGTGAAGGCGAAGTCAGGGATGCTGGAGATGTTGTTGAGGGCCAGCGTGAGCGCCTGCAGGGTGGGCAGGTTGCTGAGTGGCCGCACGGGCACCTCCGTCAGGCTGTTGTCATCCAGCCACAGGTGCCGCAGCTGCACGAGCCCCTCGAAGCTGTCCTCGGGCACGGAGGTGATGTGGTTGGCATCAAGGCGCCTGCAGGGAGAGCGCGAAGCTCAGGACCGGCCCCGGGTGAGGTGCTCTGTATCTCCCATCCCTGGGCCTCCACAACAAAAAGGGGTCTGAGGTCTGGCGCCATGATCCCCACACTCCAAGGCTAAGGCAGGGTGGCCACCAGTCTGCGGCCCAGGGCACACAGCAGGGTGGGACATCGCTGGGAAAACCAGGAACACAAGGACACTGAGGGGACCGCCAGGGCAGTGTCATTTTACAGGATAGGAGTCTCCAGGGTGAGTGGGGCCTGCCTGTCACCCAGCACTCCGGAGGCTGAGGCAGGAGGGTGGTGCAAGTCCCGGGCCGGCCTGGGCTTCAGCAAGGTGCAGGCCTGCATGTGAGGCGGACCCCACTTCCAAAACTAAAATACATTAAAATACTACCACTGAAGGAAGTTTACCCACGCTGGGGTGCCCCAAGCCCTGTGGCCTCTGCACCCCATGTTCACCACCAGAGAAGGGGCCGCCGCACATGCTGGAGGCCAGCACAGCTGCGCATGAGCAGCAGCAGACGGGTACAGGCAGCCTGGCAAGAGCCAGGAGGAAGGAGCAGGGTGGGCCATGCCCTCTGCCCCTTCCCAGTGCCTGGAGGTTGGCACGCCCCGCAGGTGCAGTGACCGGGCTGGGCGCGGCTCCAAGGCCCGAGTCACCCCACAAGGACAGGGAGGCTGAGGGGTGGTGCCCACAGGAGTCAGCTGCACAGCGAGGGCGGCCTCCGCCCCACCACTTCACCTGAGACGAGGTCTGCATGTGCAGCCCAGGCTGGCCTCGGACGTGCAGCAATTGTCCTGCCCCGGCCTCCCGGAGTGCAGGGACTGTAGGCAGTCCTCCTGCCCCAGCTTCTACCCTCCACTTGCAGCCAGACCAGACATTCAGCAGCCAGTATCCCAGCTACTGCTCATTTATGGCAGTTACAACTTAAAGTTTAACTTTTACAGCATGTGTTTTACTGGAATACAATCTAACTTTCACGCTCACTTCCTACTTAATGACTGGAATTTCTCAGAACCTCAGTGCAAGTGGAGCTGTGAAACAGGTTGGTCAGGTTGGGAACCTGCAGCTGCCCTTCCTGGCATGGGATGTGGGTGAGGTGTTTAAAATCCCTGGGTCACAACTCTTCCCCTGCCCTGTCACTCAAGGAGTGCATGCAGGAGGATTTGCAGAAAATCAACTCTCTGGATAGAAAAGATGCAGGAAAGAACGCAGTCATCATAAAGACTTTTGACACGTTGGCTCGCAGTGTAAGAACTTGGAGTCAAAGCCCTGTGCGCTCCGAACCCAACCCAACTTCTTCAGAAAAGAAAACATGAGGGGCGGGGGTGGGAGGTGGGAGGTGGTGCAGGCCTGGCATCGCTGTGCTTGGGAGGCTGACGCAGGAGGACTGCTGTGAGCTTGAGGCCAGCCTGCGATACACAGCAAGAAGCTCTCTCAAATACAGACAGGAAAACAGAAAACTGGGCAGGGAGGCCTCAAGTCACAGGCTATTACTGGCTCATCCTCAGTGTTCACAGTGAGGAACTATACATTTGTTCTCACTCTACCGGAACAAGTGCTAGGAGCTCAGTACACAAGCCGTGGGGCCACAAGACCCAGGCTTCGCTCCCTTCCCGCCCAAGATAATGTCGGGCTCAGGACTCAACTGCAGCCCACGCACTCGGGCATCAGGCAGCTGCTCCTGGGATCGTATCTCACCCTCCCACCCCGGCCTACTCACAGGGACTGCAAGGCACTCAGGCCCCGCATGGCCTGGCTGGGCACTGTCCTCAGCTGGTTGTTCTGCAGGGTGCTGTAAGGGAACAAATGCTTGTGAAAAACACACGGTGGCTTGCTTTCCAAGACTGTGAAGCCTTGATTCTCCCCAAACTATTCATAATGGCAAAGAGAATAGGTGGGCAGCCCCAGCATTCCAGAGGTCGGGATGGGGGCACCGGCTCAGGGTACTGGTGTTGTGGGGCTTTTTTGAGAGTCTCACTACATACTTGAGACTGGTTCTGAACTCACCGTGCAGCCCAAGCTGGCTCTAAACTCACGTGACCCTCTCACCTCAGCCCGAGTGCTGGGCTCACCTGGCCCACAGTGCTGAGTTTCCCCGAGAAGTCTATGCAGCAAGCAGAGGACATGTTTGTACACTGGGATAAAGCAGGTACCAGCGGCCTGGGACTTGGCCACAGGGCAGAGTGAAGCCCCCGCCTGCAGAGAGCAGCAGGGGTCTGGTGGCCCAGGGCCCTGCAGGGACAGAACCCAGCGCTCACCTCGCTGCTCACCTCGCTGGAGGGGTGCCAGGAAGCACTAGGGCTGGGTCTGCCTTCTGGGCAAAGTGTCCCCTCCCTATTGACAAAACACCTGGGACTGGAGCCCAGGGGCGGGGCGGGGCAACCCCGTGGTGACCTGAGCGACCTTGTCAGGCCTGCTGGTACTTGCAGAACAGGCTGTCACCTGCTTCTCCCGTGACAGTGACCAACTCCAGATTCTCCAGCCAGGAGGCTTCCTGCACACAGCCCCAGCTCCCAACCCCAACTCCCTCCCACCACCAGGGCCCAGGGCCGCCCTTCAGCCTGTCGAGCCGGGGGCTCCCAAGGCTCCTGCCTGATCTTCTCATCCTTGAGGTAGAAGAAGCAGGCTCCCTGCCCCACTTGCACACCAGGAGAAGGTGTGGCCAAGTACTCACAGCACTCGGAGTTCCGTCAGCCCCGCCAGGGCCCTCGGGTGGATGAAGGAGAGGTCGTTGCCGGCCAGTTGTCTGGGACAAAGCAGAGGAGACAGCAATTCAGACTGCACTTCTGCCCAGGTGTTCTGGCCGCAGTCCAGCTCTATGGCGGCTTGGGTCCGGGATGTGAACCCACTAGGAGACCTTGGATGTGCCATGGGACTCGAGCCCCAGAAAGGGGCTTTCTGTAGTTTCGCTGTGTGGGTGATGCAACCCTGAGAGCCAGATTCTCCCGCGGTCAGCGCAGATCCAGGCCTTGACCATAGTAGCCTACACAAACCCAGCAGCCGCAGGCGGAAGGACTTGAAGGGAAGGCCTCGCTATACATTTAGGATTTTTGGTACTAGGAATCGAACTCAGGATTTGGAGCTTCCCTGGCAGAGGCCGTTCTGTGCTCTACCTTTCTCGCCCCCACCACGCTTTCTTTAAGATGGGCTTTCCTCACCTTGAACTCACAGACGCCCTCCTGCCTCAGCTTCCCAGTGCTAGGATGGCAGCCTGCGCCTGGCTTGGTCAGGGCTCCTAACAGACAAAACCCATTCCTGGCTATTTCCCCTGTGCTGCAGTAGAGTTCAGCACATGAGGCTGGGTCCAGCGCCAAAGCAAAAGCAAGGAGCGAAAACAGGCCATGCTGCTACCCTGAGACCCTCAGGCCCTGAGGATGGGGCCACCTCTCGAGGGAAGAAGACCTCAGGTCCTTTCTCATGTCCTTGGGCATCCTTTTAAATCCAGGTCAAAACCAGGTATGGTAGCACACACCCGTAATCCCAGCCCTTGGGAGGCTGAAGGGAGGATCTTGGTGAATTCAAGGCCATCCTGGACAAGATATGGAGACCCTGTCTCCAAAAAAGCAGAAAGCAAGAGGATGCAGAAATGTCTCAGAAGAGCTTGAAGTCCTACTCCCCTCCGCAGAGGCCAAGGGTCGGAAAGCTGAGGCCCTCCAAAGGGACAGCCAGGCCTGCACAGCGCCTTGCAGCTGCCCACACAGCTGCTCTTTCTCAGCACCCAGCCAAGGCGAGGGCTGCACTCCACCATACAGGAGCTGGGGTTTGCACCCATCTCTGTTCTGGTCCCCTCCCAAAAGACCCACTCTCCCCCCACCATCGCCCTCTTACTGTTTCCTGTCCATATTCTGACCTCATATAGGAGAAACCGCTCCATCTTCAAGCCTGCGTGTCCAATTCATCACACTCAGTGTCGCAGTTCCCAGAACACCCACTTTCCTCCAGGGCACACCAGCTCCCCTTCTTTAGGGCAGGGTAGTGCTCCACTGGGTGTGAGCAACACATTCTTTATCCTGTCATCAGCCACCCTACACAGGCCGCTTCCAAGACTTAGCTGGATGCCACACTGCTATGGACCTTCACCTCCTCCCCGAGACCCCGCAGGAGGAGTGGTGGGCTGAAGGCACAGTGTGCTTCCCTGGGGCAGGTCTCTCCAGGCAGAGAACCTGGGCTGCCTGCTCCCACTGACCTCCGGCTGAACAGTACCCCCATGGCCACTGTTAGACGGTGTCTGGCACTGTGGGGGTGACGCTTCAGTCCCCTCATCCCCTCTGGGCGAACCCTCTGCCAGTGCTGGTTTCCTGATGACCTTCTTGGCCCGGACTCACTGGTCAGGTACGACCAAAATGATTCAGGAACTCAGGGAGGCCAAGTCCTGTGGGTGTCTGGCCCCTGCCTCCTCCCACGCAGACCTGTGATGTCCCCAGCCTCCGCATACCCAGTGGCCAGCAGAAGGACCCCAGATCCAGCCGGCCGAGCCCACAGGCTCCCTGCCATGTGTCTGTGTCCCCCCACTCAACACAGCCTCTGCACAGCACCTAGAGCCCCACTAGACTCCTGATTACTGTAAATCTAAGTGCTACCCATATTACCCCTACTACCTGAACTGAGAAAGTTCTTTTTTCTCTTCCTGTCTTTTTGCGACAGGGTCTCACTGTGTAATTCATGCTGACCTCAAACTTTCGAGGATCTTCCTGAGAGCTGTGATGACAGGTATGTGCCACCATGCCTGGCTATCTGTTTTTCCCTTGCTGGGGCTGAGGTGGAACCAGGCCTTCTGTATGTTAGGCAAGAGCTCTATCAAGGAGCTCCATTCCAGCCCTGCCCCAATTTAAAACTTTACATAAACATCAGTACATCATTACCAAGTAATGCTCATTATAGAGAAAACACAGAAGGCAAAAGTGAAATGCAAGGTACACATAATGCTTCTACCCAAACTGGTTCCCTGAGTATCACAGCGAGTCCATGAGATTCACGGGGCTGGCATTTACCTAACACTCAGATCCCGTACTCACCAACTCTGAAGGAGGGACAATTAGTAATTTGACCCAATTCACAAATGCCAGTGGCAAATAATCTGCACTGAGCTTTTGCTCAGGTGCGTCAGACTCAGCTAAACTGTGTGGTAAGGGAAATCCTTCTTCCTGTCACTAAACCCCAGCTGCCTGTCCAGCCTCAGCAGGGGCGGGCAGCATGACCTGCCATCCTGCACTCTTGGGGTTCTGTCCTAGGGGAGGGGCCAAGGCAAGACTGGAAAAGCTGGACTGCAGGACACATCTGTGATAGGAAAGGCTGAGACAGGGCCTCACTGTGCAGCCCAGGCTGGTCTCAAACTCCAGGCGATCCTCCTGCCGTGGCTCTGAGTGCTGGGCGGGCCACATGCGCCAGCCAGTAGCCTAGCTGCGGTGAGAGCCAGAATCCTGACGCCATCGCCAAGCCTCTCTGATGCCTTGCTGGCAAGCCCATGCACTTGCGCTAAAAACCTCTCTTCCCTGAACTCAAACCGCATTTTGTTTTTCCAACAGGATCCTGGCCTAGAACTCTCCCTTCCCAGCTCCTTCACAAACCCAAGTGAGGACTGGGATCCCTGGCTCCAGTTGAGCAGAAAGCACAACACGATGGAGGAGTGTGCAAGCGTAGAAAGGTTTCCGCAACGCGTTGTCCATGGCCACGAGCCTGCCCAGGGCCCTAAACCCTCAACGCAGGGAGCTGCTGGTGAGGAAGAGCTGCCGGCCCAGGCCCCGCGCCACCCCCGAGAAGTCGCAGCGTCTTCAGTGCTGGCTTCCACATGAGCTCCAGTGACCACACTGCATACACCTTGAGCATGCCCACCCATACCCCGCCTGCTGCTGCCTGCAGCCCAGCCACTCTGGGCAGGAAGACGGGACCGTATTGCAGACCCAGTTGGCAGCGGGGCAGGACAACTTACAGCTCCTCCAGGAAAGGGAAGTCCTTAAATGCGTCTTCTGGCAACTGAGTAATGTTGTTCATGCTGATGTCCCTGTAAGACACAACCAGAGAATGGCCGTCACCAGTGGTAATGTCTTATGGCTTTGCTTTTCTTTTGTCTTAATTTTCTTTTTGGGTTTTCTGAGACAGGATCTCCCTGTGGAGCCCAGCCTGGCCTCTAACTTGTAGCTATTCTCCTGCCTCAGCCTCCCAAGGGCATGAAATACAGGTGTGCAGCCCCAGGCCTGGCAGCATTTAATTCACAAAAAATGCCACCAAGTTCCACAGGCTGAGTGGTGCAGGAGTGGCCTGGGGTCACCCGAGGTCCCCACAGGGACACTGCGCTCTCAGAACACAGCAGTGACCATCTCCCTCCTGTTCCACAGTTCTCAGGCTTCGACCAGACTCCCGTCTGCCCCCCACGGGGCCTCAGCTAGCTGGACAGGACGGATCCAAGCCCGTGGAGGCCTTCATCAAGCCAGCTCGGGGGGTGGCACTGAGGTAGGATCCCTATAAATGTGAGGCCACCACTGATGCACCAAGAGACATGCACACACGCACACAGAAAAGTTAAGGACACTGCTGCCGAGGTAGCTATACATTAAAGTTACTGATGGAGGCTTTGTAAAGACATGCTGATTCTGAAAGCCTCAGGACTACAGGCAACTAGGTGTGGGATCTCCCAAGACTTAGCTTAGGGCTCTCTGAACGCCTCAGGTACAGAGCAGAGGGGAAACAGCTCTGCCCCACCCTGCCCTCAGGATCAGGACTCAGCAGGGAAACTCCCCTGGCACGGGGCCTTGGCTCAGTCAGTGGGTGGGACCCCCGTAACCCTAATACTGGGGAGGCCGAGGCAGGAGGATCATAAATTCCAAGCCCAGCTCAGGTAACTTAATGACTTAGCCTGTCTCAGGAGATAAAGGGGAGGGGCCAAGGCAAGACTGGAAAAGCTGGACTGCAATACGGTAGCTCAGGTGACTGCCTGGGACTGTAGCTCAGGTGACTGCCTGGGAAAGAAGTAAAACCGCACACGAGGGGCACACGCTGGTTCCACTAAGCAAGGTCCTGCAAGTGGTGCCCTCCTCCTGCCTGGATGGTCGAGTTGCAGCAGGCACCCGCAGAGCTCTGCAGACCTCTCCAGGACGCCGAGCTGTGGTCCCTGGCCAGGAGTTCCACCTCCTGAGCGCTGGGACTGTGGGCGTGCAAGGACTTGAGAATGTGCAAGACACCAGAGAAGGGTGGAGAGCTCTGGGGTCACAGTCACACAGGAGCCTACATGACCCCGGCACTCTGGAGGCCAAGGCAGAGGATCACTTGGGTTCAGGCCTGCAAGACTGCTTCAAAAGCAAACAAAACCCGCACTGATGCTTACAAATAAAAGCTAGTTATGCCGGGGAGATGGCTCAGTGGAGTAAGCGCTTCCCTGGCAAGCGCAAGGGCCTGAGTTCGAGCCCCGTTTCTGCCAAAAAAAAAAGCTAGTTAGTTGCCCCCAGGTGCCCCGCCCCACAGTGCTGCTGAGCGCTGTCACTGCCCAATGTGCAGAAAAGGCGCAGCGGGCACCAGGACTACGGCTGCTTCCGCGGTGGGGCGCAAGGCTCACGCCGGCACCAGGACTGCCGCTGCTTCCGCGGTGGGGCGCAAGGCTCACGCCGGCACCAGGACTGCTGCTGCTTCCGCGGTGGGGTGCAAGGCTCACGGTTTTAGGGTCATCTTCAAGACGTAGAGCCCCTATTTTGACACTTTGTAGAATTTTCTCATTAGAGACTTTCAGAGCTGAAATTCACTCCTACACTGAAACCTCTCTCGATGTGCTGGCCCAGACTGCGATCCCACTCCAGCCGGCTGGCACAAGGCAGCGCTAGAAGGAGGAGCAAGTGTCTCCTCTCTGCCTGCACCCAGCCCTATCTCCGTAAACTGACAAGCGCAGAGCTGCCAGGACCTCCCCGCGCCCTCAGTCGAGTCCAGACGGGTCCGGCACGCTGCTGAGGTGCAATCTTGAAGCCAGGCTACGGGGCGGCATGGCTCCAGCTGCAGCTCCAGGCTGCAGTTCCCAACACCACGTGAGCCAGGCGCAGGCTGTTGTGAGGAGACAGAGGCTCCGACTTCCCAGTGGACGGCCTGGAAGGCGACCCAGAGGCTGTGGCAGCGACCCGAGCAGCACGCACGGCCCCAGCTGTGCGGTGCAGGCTCTTTCAGCGCAGACCCTCCTCTCTGCAGCGTGGACATCAGGCTGCTGCCCGGCCAGCTCTTGGCCTGCATGGACCTCTCTCCCCAGCCACTGCCCTCTTCATGGACTGATCAAACCTGGGTTGGGCCCGGGGCGAGGCCTGGTTCCCCCGCCGTTCCTCCAGCTGGACTGAGGGCCCCTCAGGGCCCTATGACTGCATCTTTACCTTCACGGTGGGCTGCGCCAGAAGGGATGGCCTGGGGTTAGCTGACTAGAACTGCACTAACTTTTCCCTAGGATTACAAACGGGCCTTTTCTGGACCTGCAGGAGGTCAGGAAGGGCTCTCTATTGCAACAATTCAATTTAATGTGCCCAAGGGCTGGAGTATCGTGCGGCTCAACCGCCTGGAACCCAGACAGGAAGAGGGAGAATGCACAAGACAGAAAAACACTCGCACAACCCCAGACCCGGGCACAGGGGGATGCAGGGAAGCCACACGCACCGCTGCACGCGTAGCGCGGATGAGATCACGCGCGGGGGACAAGCCGAGCTGCAGGCAGGGTGCGTCCTAGCACATGGAACACACGCTAGAGCTATGACCCAGGCGCCCAAGTCTGAAAAGCGTCACTATCCAAGCCAGAAACCAGCAAAGATGCTCCACTAGTGACTGCAGGAAGATGCTCGCGAGTGGCTACTTATGGAGATACTATGCAGGCACAAAAAGGGGCGCAGGCTACTGGGGGGCAGCACACAGCCTCGGAAAGAACAGGCAGCTGCCAACCTGCATTAGTGTGGGGGCAAATCCCAAGCACGGCACAGAGGCCAGGAGGCCTGAGGCAAAGGCAGCTGCAGAGTGCGCCAGCTGGGCGCCTTCTGAGGGGACGGGGCCTGGAAGCTTAGAACTCATGTCCCTCAAGCCTTGCTGCCCATGTGGCCTTTCCTAAAGTAAGAGCAGACATCTGTGACCCATGAGCACCTCAGGCCCCTGCCGTGGGACACCTGGCCTCTGCCTGCAAGCACAGCCCCACCTGAAAGCAGCATGCCATGACAGGTGGGTGCCCTGCTCAGGAGTTGGGAAAGCTGTGGTTCATTTTGTGCTGTGCTGTTCTGTTCCTTCCATAGTCCTAGAGGCTAGAGGCTGAGACAGGAAGGTCACTGAGAGCCTAACGCCAGCCAGGGCTATGTAGTTAGACCCAGTATCAAGAAACACCTACCCAGCAATGCCAGGCATGGTGGCACGTACCGGCAATGCCTGCACGTGGGATGCTAAGGCAGGAGTACTGAACTCAAGACCAGCCTGAGCACATAGCATGACCCTATCTCAAAAAAATGGACCAAAGCAAAGATCACACCATTTCTCAGATAGCAAAAAGGGGCAAGGGCAGGTGCCCTCCACACACTCCTGCCCCAAACCAAGTGACCAACCCATCCAGACTCTTGTGGGGCGGCAAGGCTGGGCGTGAGGCTTCTTCTAAACCCAAGTTCCAGATGTAAAAATAGCTTGGGAGGAGCAATGCAAAATGGGATTCAATGAAACTGATTTTCCTTCCTCAAAATTTCAAAAACACAGGCTTTGTCCCATAAATAGCAGCTCTGGAGCCCAGGAGCTGGAGAACACAGTGGTTAAGATCCCAGAGCCAGGCCAGCACGGCGGTCCTCGGGCAGGCGCCCACACACAGGGCCGTCCTTCCAGCCTCTTCCCACTGCACTTCAGTAACGCGACACCCGACACCCAACACTGCTCTGCTGCCAGGGCGGGAGGTCAGGGCCCCAGGAGGCTGCTGGCCCGTCCTTCTGTGACCAAGCCAGAGGGAGGAGGCGCCAGCTGCGGTCCCAGGGCTGCGTTGGGAGACACATCCCACATCCCAGTATCCCCACCACCACCTCTTGTGAGCTTGGAGCTCCAGGGCCAACAAAGGCGGGTGAGCCCCACACCCGAGTTCTCGAGTGTCCCCAAGACTGCACCCTTCACCCCACACTCAGGAAGGGAAGCTAAGGAGGAGGACCACCTCCTTCCAGGGTGAGCCAGCCCTCGGTCCCAGCCTCTTCCCCTTGGCAGCCCTCACCAAGGGGCTACCAGAGAACGGCAGGCTCACAGCATACAGGCACAGCTCAGATGCCCCCAGCAGCTGGGCCTAGATCCTGAGCCTAGTACTCAGGGTGCTGACAAGTCTCGGTGCCACTGTGTATGTGTACTGCCCCTTGATGTCAGCAGCTTCTCTCTCTCTCTCCCCCCCACCCGGTTTTTGGGGCCAGGATCTTGCAGGTAGCCCAGGCCAGCCTCAAACTCACAGCAGCTGTCCTGCCTCAGCCTCCTGAGTGTGTGCTACCATACCCGGCTCCCTTTCAGCAGTCTGAACCTGGCCTTTCTCTCTGCACTGGAGGCCAATCTCAAGACAAAGCCTGCCATAGCTCTGGAGCCACTGTGTGGGAAGAGGCTTCCTGTCTCCAGGGGCACCTCTGTGGCGCTCTGGGGACAGCCCTGCTCCAAGGACCTACATCAAGCCAGGTGCACCCCACCCAGCCCGACTGCACCCCATGCAGCCAGGAAGCCAACTTCTTGTCACAGCAACTAAAGACACCTGCAAAGTGGGGCCAGCACTCAGGAGGCCAAGGCAGGAGGCTCACCTAGGAGTCAAGGCCAGTCTGAACTATACAGCGAGAACCTGTCTTAAAAGGAAAAAGGAAAGAAAAAATTCTAAAATCACTCATTTATCCAGAAAATTTGTCTTATAAGGATGAGTACTTCATTTGGTCTGATAGAAAGTGAAATGTGTATTTTGTATATTTTTTACTCTAGTTATTCACTTTGCACAAGAGCTAAGAAAAAAAAAAATTGCTGCTTAGATTTTAAAAACTGTTACAGTAAAAGATGCACGGCCAC